CTTATAATAGTCATTAATTTTTCATTTTTGATAAAATAGATTTTTGAAAGATTTTTCACACCTTGTAAGAGAATTATATAATAACTCAAGTCTTCCTTGTGTGGAGAATAGAAACTTGAAAACCTTTTTCGATATTTTTGTAAAATAATTTCTTGCTGACACATAATCTAAACTAAATCGACCTATATTCAAATATAATTTGCTTTGTATATTACTGTACAGAAGGAGGAATTATAAGTTCTTACGGAGCATGTTCAGAGAGCAAGAGCAGAAGTAAACCGAGAAAGACAATATTCTTTAACTGGATCGGTTTACTTTTGTTCTTGAAATGTGTTTTGTAAGTTAGACAACAATTTAACATTTGGTACTATTCTTTTTTTGTTGGTAATCACTAATCAGGACTGTAATTGTGTCAAATTTAGCGATGCCAAGAAATTTTCTTACAACATTAAGAAATTATAATAGTGGGTAAAACCTTTTTAAGATCTTGAGTCGTGAGTATAGTATATACGATCAGAACCTTTTTAACAACTATTTCCTATGATTATAGGAAACTGTTGCATGCCTTTAATTACAGTAGCATAAAGTTTTATATGTAATGGCAATGAATGATTGGATGTGATTAGCTTTTAGAATGTTTTGATTTCTTACGTTTGGTGAAAGATTAGGATATGTCGTATTTAATCTTATTATTTTTATCCGTCTCCCAAAAGTTTGGCTTTTTACCATACAGTCATATGTGTGCCCAAGAGCTTTTCTTTATTATTATCTTGAACTTATACTTCCGTTCACTCTGTTACGAATATATTTAACTGTTGCTCTCGAAAATTATAAATTGGGATATAATCACAGTTTGCAGGAATACGATTTCTAACCGTACAAAGACTGGGAAATCGGGAATTGATTATATGAACTTTTAAACATCAAATATTTTTCCTATGTATACGTGGAATTTCTATAAATTGTTTAAAATTGTGGATATTTATCTAGTGGCAATAACAAAATCGGCCAATCATATCATATCCTCTTGAATCTATCTTTACATCTTTCTCTTTATATATATAGGGGCCTCTAGATAAAGCCGAGGCTCGTTATCTACATGCATGTTTCATTTAAACTTTTGTCTTCTCGTATCTTATACATTTTTTTTTCTTGGGCAAAAAAATGTAGTTCAAGTATCTTATAAATATTTAATAACTGCATGAAACATAATCCCACGTCACGATTCACGATAGACATGGTAAGCCATGATTTACCAAAAAGTTTGGAATATAAAAGGATTCAAATAACGCGTGACGTCATCATATGATCAATCGATGGCGATCTTTCCTGCACCTCATTTCTCTTTTGCTTGTATGGCTCAGATAAAAACTTTATATTGAGAAAAAAGGGAAAAATATGGTTCTGTAGAAAAGAAACTCTTGTAGAGGCAACTAATTTTGATGTGTATGTAAATAACTTTTAGTTTTTTCAAACTGAAAAGTCTTTGATGGTGGTTGAATTTGAAAGAAAATGAATATAAAAACATGTTATATATACTGTACAACGTCTGTGGCCAGTAAATTTTAAGGTTATTTCTTGGACTGATTAGTCAAAATTAAGACGGATTTAAAGGAATACATGCAGAGCGAGGAGAACTTATGTTGAATGGTCTTCCAGTCAAAACCATTCAAATTAATGTGTAATCGTTTTCATAAAAGTTAACTAACAAACAAACAAATAATACCAACATGTAAGTAAATAAACGAGAAACAAGGAAAACATAGAGAGAAGATGATTGGATAGAACAGGAGCAACTTGATACACTAAAGAACCACATTGCAGTTCGTCTTTCTGCTATACTTTGTTGTTTGCTAATCAGTGCTCACCTCGTAACTTTTTTTTTTGCTATCATCTCTTTCTTGCTCCGATTTTCTTCTGCCGTCGAGTTTTCTTCAGCCTACGTATCAAGTTGATTACAACCATGAATATATATAATTATCATTTTCACTAGCCTTTGAAGTGATTAATAATATGATTTACTGATAAAGGAGTAAATAGTTCGGTGCTTTTTAATTTTCTTTCTTGATGCACTTAGAGGAAACATTACTTTTTTTGTTGTCAAGAGGAAACATTACTTTTCCAACCCAAAAAAAAAGGAAATATTGCTTAGGCACATTTGCGCGCGAAATTATTGTCAATTATTGTTTATTTTTAGAGGATATTGTCAATTATAGTTGAGAAAGGCTTGTAGTGGTCGGAAAGATTGTATAATCAATTATTCACAAATTATAATTAAGTATGAACGAGATCGGGGGGAAATTTTGCTTCTGTCGCCACGAAATATTATTGAGTAAAGTATCATCAATGTGATATTTGTGTATAGGGACTAGGATTTAAACTTTAAATTTTGAGCAGTACAAAAAAAGTAGTGGAATTTATTTATTGAATGTAAATATATTTTTGAAGCGCACTATATTTATTTAACATTTGATTATTTCTGCTGTAGTCATTTTTGATCGTCAAAAGGTATTTCAATTACATGATTGGGCAGTTTTACAATAGAATAATCCTCAATCTAAAGAGGGGAAAGGAGCCATATTGTTGATACATATTAATATTTCTAATAAGATAGGAGTACTATTTTATGTTTATATGATGAATATCCACACGAACGAGTGGTCGAATAATAACCACAAGAAGCGATTACGTAAACCATTTTTAACAAAGGGCAATTCCAAAAAACGAATCTAAAATAACGTAAATAAAGGCTTTAAATATCAGTTTAAGGCGATTAGTTAAACCGGACCTAGCCGATTTAGACATTTGTTATTTACCATAGTCCTACCGACCACTTTTATATCTTTAAAGCAAACCCACAAAATATTGATGAGAAATGCTATAAACCCAAGTAGTCAAGTTAAATTATATCTAATTGTCATATGATTGTCATATGTAGCAAACCCATAATTTTACTCAAGTAGTAATTATATATGAGAAATGCTATGACGACTAAACTCAAATACGGTAATATAATAATTTCTCACCGAGTAATCTACTTATTCTTTTCTTGTAGTACAGTGTTAATTCTTACAATTATGGATCTAAACATCACTCAGATTACTATCAAGGAAATTTGTTAGTCCATTTTTCAGATATGTATGGATTTTTCTAAATATTGAACAGTCTCTTCAGATGTTATTAAAAAAATGAACAGTCTCTTCATTATCTACTTGAAATATAAGATACTTGAATCAATGTCTTTTTCATTCATAACTTTTACTATAAAAAAGAAAACCACCCTAAAAGAATGAACTCTTTGAAAAATGAAAACCATGTGAATCAGCATAATAAGTTACTATTTAACCTAAATTGATACGTTCAAATAACCATAAAAGTCTGATATAGATTAAAGTTTCACAAATGAAGTTCATGCTATTGTTCTTTTGTCCTATTAGTTATGAATTATTAGAGGTTGGTTCTTCCCAAATTAATCCACCAATATTATTGTTTAAAATTAACTCAAGCTCTTTATTTATTTTCACATACTACATTATCATATTTTTTTTGTAAACGATGATCTACTCTTGACAACGGATAGATATAACTATTTTTGAATAGATGTTCTAATACGTAACGCGTGGATCATAAAAGACGGCTCAACCTACTGTCATAACCGTATTTGAAAATTGACTGACCCCAAACAAAAAAAAAAAAGTATGGGTGAGTTTCAAAAACCCCTCCTCTCTAACATGTTATAGCATACTTACCTACTGAACGGAAATTTTTGAAAAGATATTTGTGGCCCCTAATAAGCATAGTTGAGGTCTTAACCTTCACTTACTTGTGTTCATGACTCATTTTTGTCTATTTTATGTTGGATTCTATATAAAAAAAACTCCCATCCATAATATATTTTGAAGTTAACTTTTGTCTAGCTAACGTGACCAAAATATGAATTTTAGTAGTTCGAATTGTTATTGTATCACTATCTAAGTTTAAAAACCGCATGATGTACATATTGCTAAAAAATCTTCATCCGATGTAAAATAATTAATAATTGTCTAACTGTTAAATAAAAGGAGTTGATATGCCTCTTCTTTAAACTTGCACATCTTTTCTAAATCGTAGACCAAGGCAAAGCATGTAAACTATGTCTCTCTTCTTTTTTTTTTTCTTTCCAACCACACTGTTAGGATTTAAGAATTATTGTATATTAATTTTACCCAAGTCTAAAATTTTAGTTAAGCCGTCTATCTCTCATTCTTGTTTCTTTTTCTTTAATTGTATAGTTTATCTCTCTTTCGTTTTGTTTATTTTTTATTTTTTGAAGTAAGACAGAAAGTGAATATGATAAATGAAACAAATGTGAATGCAAGTAAAATTGGAATAGAACGTCTATAAATTCCTCTTTTTCTTCAAGTTGTTGGTTTGTTAAACTATTTAACTGGGGGTACGTACAGACAAAATGTTAATGATTGAGAAACGGCAAAATAGTGTAGTAATAATATTTTCTTAAAATTGGGAAACGTAAATTTAGAATGAAAAAGTGGCTAAAAGTGAAAACGGCAAATGTATTTACGTACAATGTCACGTGAACTAATTTTCTTGGGAACGTAATTTAAGCAAGAGCCTCGTAATTTTATCCTAATAAATGAGGTTATAAACCAAGAAAATACAAGCAACATGATAATGTATTCACATATATAGATATGTGTGAAGTAGGTAGAATCTAGCTTAAGGCTATTGAAAGAAAGAGTTGGCCTAAACCGAAATCGACATGCATATAAAGTTATTTTGTTGATGGATTGGTTCTGTATATAAATTTCCAAGGACATTTATTTATGTAGTACACATACATAAACAATACTATACTTTTAAGATATCATATTATTTTTTATTTTTTAAAATGAAAATCATGATTATGACTCACACAAAACATTTATCTTTATTTTCTTTTCCATAAACAATAACACATTCCCATTTTTTCTGAAGACGTCTCCCCCTATATATACTTGAAGTCCCCAATATGCTAAGGTCGTGCCATCAGCTTTTGATTTAAGATAAATACTTGCAAAGCTAAAATATTTCTTAATTACTTCGAAGAATTCTTCTTCTCCCTTTCTAAACAAAAGCCTAAACCCAAACAAAAAAAACGAAAACCAAGTTATAATCAGAGAAGATCGACATTCATGGCTATCTTCAACACTCAAAACACATGGGCCTTTGCCTTCGGCTTGCTCGGTCTGAATTTATCTCCTTTTATATCAAATTTTGATATCATCATACCTATCCTATATCCAAATTTTATTAAAACCTTTAATATCTAGTAACGCTACTTTCATTTTAATCGTGACTTTTCAGGAAACCTCATTTCCTTTGCTGTTTTCCTCTCTCCCGTGTAAGTACTTACATCAGTCTTACTATGTTCTTGTTTCTTCATCAGTCGACAACATGAGTGTATATAAGTCAACACATATATGTGTTTATGTTACTATACATAGTTAGCTAGCTAGAACTATATATATGTGATCATCATATATATGTACAAAACAATTGAGAAATTAAGATTAAGAGTTGGGATATGATTCGATATGGACGCAGGCCAACGTTCTATAGGATCTGGAAGAAGAAAACCACAGAAGGATTTCAATCACTTCCCTACGTGGTGGCGCTCTTCAGCGCAATGCTGTGGCTCTACTACGCTACGCAGAAGAAAGACGTCTTCCTTCTCGTCACCATCAACTCCTTTGGTTGCTTCATCGAAACCATCTACATCGCCATTTTTGTTGCCTTTGCTCCCAAGAAAGCTCGAGTATGTTGTATCGTTATACCAACATATACACGTAGTATTTAATAATATTAATTTACGTGGTTATTTTTCAATGAGATATCAAGTATTGGCATTTGGGTGCAGATGTTCACGGTGAAGCTCTTGTTGTTGATGAACTTTGGAGGATTCTGTTTGATTCTCCTCCTCTGCCAATTCTTGGCAAAAGGAACCACACGTGCGAAGATCATCGGAGGAATTTGTGTCGGATTCTCTGTCTGCGTTTTCGCTGCGCCGCTTAGCATTATCGTAAGTAGTATTATTGTGTATATATATATATATACATATATCAATCACAGGTTAAAATTAAACGAAAATATGATTAATTATTTTTTTGATTACAAACAGAGAACGGTGATAAAGACAAAAAGTGTGGAGTACATGCCGTTTAGCTTATCCGTGTCACTTACCCTCAGTGCGGTCGTCTGGCTCCTTTATGGTCTTGCTCTTAAGGATATCTATGTTGCTGTAAGTCATCATAATTAATCATCATTAATTGCATGAAAATGGCTACTTTTGTTTCATTGTACCTGAGCCACAGTGAACGCTTTTGTTTCATTGTACCTGAGGCACAGTGAAGCTATATCATAATCATAGATAAAAAGAGATATGGATTCACAAAAAGCATAACCCTTTTGTTCGGTATTATTGTCGTTTTACATATTTCTATATCCCACAAAACGCTAAAGATACTCCCTTTTATGTATTTTAAAAGAAAAACCTTAAAGACATTATCTTTTACAAAAAGGAGTTCTATCTCTATATCTTTTTCTAATCATCAATTGTATATTGCACGTAATAACCGTACTATATATTGATATGGATCTTTTTTTTTTTTTGAACGACCGATATGGATTTATAAAGCGTAAAGTTCATATAAAAAAAATAAAGTAGTTTATATTGCTTTGAGCACTAAATAAATGATCTTTTAATCGTTTTAAAATTTCTGTCGAATTTGGCAGTTCCCGAACGTGATTGGGTTTGTTCTCGGTGCACTTCAAATGATACTTTACGTGGTTTTCAAATACTGCAAAACGCCGTCGGATTTGATGGAGAAAGAACTCGAGGCCGCTAAATTGCCAGAGGTGAGCATCGATATGCTGAAGCTAGGCACTTTGGCGTCTCCTGAACCAGCAGCAATCACAGTCGTTAGATCGGTAAACACGTGTGTCTGTAACGATCGGAAGGCTGAAATTGAAAATGGTCAGGGAGTTAAAAACGGCACGCACTCCACTGCAGCTTGCTAAAAGAAAATAATCTATTTGACGAACATTTGCGTTGTTGACTTTTGTATTCTATCTTGATATGCCTACCAATCATCATCCACGTGTACAAGTTACGGCGTCGTATTTTCATATTTTATCAAGTGTGCGAAGTCGAGGATTATTTCTCTCGGGGATTACATTTTCCTGAGTTAATTTTTCTCTTCTTCTTTTAAATTATAAGTGTAATTAAATCATCTGTTGGATATAAATATTTCTTACTTTCTGGTTGAAAGTTACTCACAAACTAATTAACAGATATATATATATATATATATAATTTCATTTGTTAAGAAACGCATGGTATCTGACTATCTGTTCCTAATTTCATACTTATAGTAATCATGCATTGACAAAATTTAGTAAAATTAATTTTTCCCTCATAATGACTTAAAACTGTCAGGCTTGTACAGATGTTGCTGACAACTCAGTGAATATCAGAGGGTCTAGGCACATTATATTACTATGTAAAAATTGGAAATATAGATTTATTTCCTATATACTATTGCAAGGAAACAAATTAAAGTCAAGTTGATATTGTTTACCGTACCAGCTGTAACATGTAAAATGTATTATGCACCATATATGGTTAGGAATAGAAAAACAGGAAACAAGAGAAAAAAGGAAATAGAAAAAAAATAAATAAAACAAAGTGTGTTTTATCTATAAAATCTCTCGCTACCTATGTATAGGCACTTGTGATTAACATTGTGTTTGTTTCAATTATCTGTTTTGATCCCTCTCCGTGTAGGCTCAATAGTTCTTGAAACAACTCAATTTGGGGGTTCTTTAGAATAAACAAAGTTTGCGTTTCATCAGTGCTAGTTTGTGGGGTTTTTGGAGTCAATAGTGTAGCATTCTAGAGTATTTTGTCAGAAGTATTTTAGATTTGTAATATATTTGCTTGGAAAATGACTGTGGGAGAGAAAATTAGTGGTGGCTCATCGTGGAGCAGGGATGATGATATTGCTTTTGAGAGAGCTCTTGCAACTTATACCGACGAAACTGATAAGAATCGTTGGGACAAGATTGCTGCAGTTGTTCCAGGAAAAACCGTAGAGCAGATTGTAGAACACTACGATATTTTACTTGACGATGTTAAGATGATTGAATCTGGGTGTGTACCTCTTCCTGATTATGATTTTTCAGAAGAAACAAATGATAAAGAAACAAGCAATTTGGAGTGTGGCAACAATCGCAAATGTGAGTATAAGCAAGAAGAAGAACCAAAACTAATGCAAAACCGACGAAAGGGGATTGCTTGGACATCGAATGAACACAGGTTACTACTAATCCACTTATTTGTTAAATGATAATTCGCTTATGGTTTTTGTGGTTGTTATGATAGCAAAGGTAGATAAGTTTCTTATAAAATTGTGATTTTACAGTTTTAATATATATATTTTTTTTTATTACTAAGATATCGAATATTGTGTACGTGTCTTTTCTATTCCGGGACAATGAGTAAAATTTTCACACTAGTTTTATTCTTTCTTTTTCTTTGAGGAGCAGGCAATTTCTTCTTGGTTTGGAGAAATATGGGAAAGGTGATTGGCGCAGCATTTCTCGTGACTTTGTAGTGACAAGAACACCAACTCAAGTTGGAAGTCATGCTCAGAAATACTTCGCACGTCTAAACTCTAAGAACAAACACAAACAGAGACCAAGCATTTATGACGTCAGCGTTACATATGGCACACCAACCATATGGAACACACCACCATCAACTTCACAACCATCTCTAGGTCTTCCTGTCTATGGGACAGTACCCACCATGTGGAACACGCAAGCGGCTTCGCAACCATTGGTACATATTCCTCCTACGTATGGCACGCCCACCATAGGCCCATCAATGGTTGGAGTTAGACCAGTGGTCTTACCTTTTGGAATGGTTGGACCTCACATGGCTTACGGAGTTCACCATCATCCAGTACCTCCTAACTCCACCGTCTCCACGGTTCACAGTGAACCGATGAACATTAATCCGTAAAACATGACATATATACCTAAATCTTTTAGTTGAGTGGTTAGCCTTTTGTGTTTAATTTGTGCTTGTTTTAAGGTATAGTAAGGGATACATAAGTCAAATTGTTTTTTTTTTTCATATGTTAATCAACTAGTCGTTTTTGAATATTTTATCATATAAATTGAAACCGGTGTAAAAGCATCATTATCGCAATAACTCACTTCATTTCTTAAACAATTAAAAAAAACAAAAAAATAAGAAAATGAGTATAAAGGGCAAAAGTTGATCCTTATTTGGGAACAAATAAGAGTGTTTCTTATTGCAACGTGGCATAAGAGTATTGGTTTAACAAATAAAAGGAAATAGAAGTTTTATTTGTCAATTCTCTCTCTTTGTTTTACACAGTTTCATCGATACATCCGATGTTCTTCTCCTCGACGAAAAACCAAATTTCATCGACGCATCCTGGAATATTCAATCCACACTAAATTTCTTCTTTTTCTTAATGTTATGAATGTTGTTATCAAATAATTATATTTGTCATAAATAAAACATATTTATTCAAAAAGTTTTTTTTTTATAAGAAACCCAATACGGTTTTAGCAATGCACCATTAAAACCATTAATTTTTTTAAAAATGTTTCCTAATCCATGTTTAGTAATAAAATATTATTAAGAAACTTATTTGGGGTATCAGAAATAATGATGCCCTAAGCTTTTGCTGGTCTTTGACTTTTGAGATATGATTTAAAAAAAAAAAAAGACGAAAAAGAATTATCATTATTCCTATTATTAAAGTTATAATATAGATTAACATTAAATTTACAGGCGGTAAAAATATAGAAGTAAAAAAAAAATATTGAACGGAAAGCGGAGCGTCTACAAAAAAAAAGAAAAAAAGAAAAACGATTCATCGTCAATCGGGCATCTTTGGGGAAAAATCTCAATCGTGAGTCGTGAAGGTGAAGGTGGAGGTGGAGGGGGAGACGAAGGAGAAAGAGATTCCTTTTGATTAAGCTGTGATTCGATCTTCCTAGTGATTGGAATTAGATCTCCACTCTCCAGTTTTCTAGCTAAATCCAGTTTCAAGGTTCGTCTCTTTCCCTTCTTCTTAGATCTGCTTCAGAATCGACTTTCTCGATTGGGTTGAGTTTTTTCCTGGAAACTTTATTGTTCAATTGCTCGATTAGGATGTTTGAGTTGTTGACACCAGGGACATTTCTCGTAGCTATTTGTTTTATTGTACCGTTTCTTAATACCAATTGAGTTTTATGTTCTTTTTTTCTGCGGGATACCGATTACTAGTTTGCAACTGTAACGTTGTGCAGAAGTAGAACCCTAGGAACTTCAGACGATTGACGGTGAATTAGGTTTTGGTTTGAGATGTCGAGCTTTCGCGTGGGAGGAAAGGTAGTGGACAAGGTCGACTTATGTAGGAAGAAACACTGGGCATGGCGCTTGGATGTTTGGCCATTTGCGATTCTGTATGCTACTTGGTTGACTACAATCGTGCCCAGCATAGACTTCACTGATGCTACCATTGCCTTTGGTGGTCTCCTTGCTTCTCACATCTTAGTCGTGCTTTTCACTGCGTGGTCGGTGGATTTCAAGTGTTTTGTCCAGTTTAGCAAGGTAACCGGCTCGTAATACCGTTTTTCTTGTTTCTTCCAAATCCTGCTAGTTGTAATTGTTACTTGATTTAAAAGTTTATATTAGACCTGTGTCTGTGTATTGATTCACAGGCTAAAAGTATCAACCAGGCAGATTCATGTAAAGTTACGCCAGCCAAATTTTCTGGGTCTAAAGAAGTTGTGCCTCTTCATTTTCGTAGCCAAGTAAGTTCATTCATTTTAGTTTCCATGCTTAAGTTGTCACTAAAACAGTTTCCATGAATGGTTTGGCTTTTAAAGTTTATTTAGACTGCTTTCTGTTTTCTGTGTTCTTGTTGGTTCTCGTGATATATGTAAAGTTCAGTGCTTATCATTTTATGAATTTATGCTCTATACTAATTGAGTCCTCTTTGACCTGGAATGCTTTATTTTTTTCAGTACTCTTATTTCTCTTGTATCTAACTGTTTAAGCCTTTTGCTGAATGCAGATGACAGGTTCGGCATCTTTGGGAGACATGGAAGAAATTTTCTTTGACTTCAGAAAGCAGCGTTTTATATTCTCAAAAGAGCTAGGAGTCTTTTCCAAGCTTCCCTACCCCACAAAGGAAACATTTGGTCATTATCTAAAATGTACTGGTCATGGTACAGAAGCTAAAGTTGCAACTGCCACTGAAAAGTGGGGAAGGAATGTGTAAGTCGACTTATAAACCCTTTTTTATACATGTATATATCAAAAGTTCACTGTAATGTTGATACATAATGTTTTTGATTGGCTATTCTTTTTCGATTGTCTCTTAATTTGTGCGATCAGTTTTTCTTTTAATGTGTCTAACCAACCTCTTTTTTTTTTTTTTAACATTTCTCCTTCTGAATATATCCAAAGTGCGGATGTTCCTTTATCCGGTTTGATACTTTGTTTCTTCGTCTTGCAGATTTGATTATCCGCAACCTACATTCCAGAAGCTAATGAAAGAAAACTGCACGGAACCTTTTTTTGTATTTCAGGTGTTGTTTACTTATAATGCATGTATCTTAGAGTTCTTTATTTTTTCACGGCTATTGTTGATGTAAGTACTGTGTTTATTCCTCTTTTTGCAGGTTTTCTGTGTGGGTCTTTGGTGCTTGGATGAATTCTGGTATTACAGTGTGTTCACACTATTCATGCTTTTGATGTTTGAGTCAACAATGGCAAAAAGCCGCTTGAAGACATTAACAGAATTAAGACGAGTTAGGGTGGACAGTCAGACGGTGATGGTGTATCGATGCGGGAAGTATGTAATTATACAACTCCCAAGTTTACCTTAAAGATCGTTTCGCTATTACTGTGGTGTCTGAATAAGTCAAATTTTAGGTGGGCGAAGCTGTTAGGTACAGATCTGCTGCCAGGAGATGTTGTGTCCATTGGGAGACCTTCATCTCATACTGGAGGAGAGGATAAGACAGTACCAGCGGACATGCTTTTACTGGTGGGAAGTGCTATCGTAAATGAAGCCATTTTGACAGGCGAGTCAACTCCCCAATGGAAGGTACTTCTCTCTCCTCAACTTCATCTTTGTTTGTTGGCTTCTTTTCCAAAATCATACTCTCCGGACTTTGGATTTGAAGTGTTCAGAATGTTAACATTGCTCATTTAGTAAGTTTGGTTTATCTTTCATTCTGATTATTGTATCAGCACCTTCTCTCACAATATGTGTAATAGGTTCTAGTGTCTTTGTTTGAAACTATGAATCGTCATTATTAACTAGTGAGCAATCGTTACTTCACAGTAGATATATTGCTTAGACCCTTGTATTATAAAGTGTTGTGTGACCTATGTTTCACTGACATTGTATGATGGCTATTGTAGGTTCCAGTTGCCGGCGAAGGATCTGATAAAAAATTATCAATCAAAAGAGATAAAAACCATGTTTTATTTGGCGGGACCAAGATCTTGCAACATTCACCCGACAAGGTATTTCAGTCTTAACAATATCAACCATTTCTTATTCCGTGATTTCTTTTAACCTGTGTTACATACTAACTAATGTTTGGGGTCAGTCATTCCCTCTGAAAACCCCTGATGGTGGCTGTCTAGCTGTTGTTCTGCGAACTGGATTTGAGACAAGCCAAGGAAAACTAATGAGGACAATTTTATTTTCTACGGAGAGGGTTAGTGATCTATCCTTTATTTATTGTTGTTTCATTTTCAGCATGCTAGAAGATTTTGTTTGTTCTAATCCTTTTGGTAAAAAAAATAGGTTACTGCAAACAGCTGGGAGAGTGGTCTGTTCATATTATTTCTAGTTATATTTGCCGTGATAGCTGCGGGCTATGTTCTTGTAAAGGTACGGTGATATTTGTTACAGGTTCTTATTTAAATAATGTCTGTTTGTACTAGTTATGAGGAAACTTCTTTGCAGGGTCTCGAGGATCCTACAAGGAGCAAATATAAGCTCTTGCTTGGCTGTTCAATTATCATTACCTCAGTGATCCCGCCTGAATTGCCTATGGAATTATCCATTGCTGTCAATACGTCATTACTTGCTCTTTCACGTCGTGGGATATTTTGCACAGAGCCTTTCAGGATCCCTTTTGCCGGGAAGGTAGTATCTGTTGTACCTCATTTGGCTATTTGTTGGTCTTAAGAACTCTTTATGCTGAGCCTTTGGGTCTCTGCAAGGAATTAATATTCGTTTTTGAATGTACTGTTGTCTTATTAGTGCCTCACTTTCACTTTGCTGATAGGTTGATTTGTGCTGTTTTGATAAGACTGGTACACTCACGTCAGATGACATGGTAAGGTCAAGTAAAGTTATGGGATATGCTTGCTTGATTTTGATACTATGGTAAACATATTTTTCGTTGCTGCTACATAGGAGTTTCGAGGAGTTGGGGGCTTGTCTGATCGTGAAGAAGCAGAGACTGATATGAGCAAGGTTCCTGTACGCACATTGGAGATTTTGGCTTCTTGTCATGCGTTGGTCTTTGTAGACAACAAGCTGGTATGATATTATACTTATGGTCGTCTTTCTTGAACCGTTTGTGCATTGCTTTTGAAACGTTAAATATCACTACAAAAATGTGTCATGTTTTACTATGTTTTACAATACTTACAGGTTGGGGATCCTCTTGAGAAGGCTGCACTTAAAGGAATTGACTGGAGTTACAAGTCTGATGAAAAGGCCTTGCCGAGAAGGTAAATGTTGACATCTTTATTAATATCTCATCTTATTGTTCTGAGTCTTTGCCCATGGTGGCTATTTAACCTTATGAATACTATGCGTATAGATTTTGAGAATAAGGATGCGTACTGCATTAATCATAATAGGTTCTTCTTAGAAGTTGAAGTTGCGAGGTTCTGTTTATGGATTCCTGTTCCTATAGAGGCATATTCCGTCATTCTGACTGGACAGCGTAGATGAAACAAATGATGTCTAGCTGTGAAGCAGTTGGTTGGAGATTGGGGATTATGGGAATGAAAGTTTACATAGCTGATAATATTAACGTGGATAATGCTTTAGGCCCTGCTTCACTATCTTTCGTTTCCTCATACTGCATCTTACGTACCCATCACTTTCTTTGAAGCTGATATCAAATATACCTTAATGGTTTCTCCCTAAGTATCAGATAATCTCTAGTTATACTTAATCTTGAAAAAATATGCTTGCACGAGCCAAGCCTTGAACGTTGGTTTTATATTATATTTTTTTAAAGAGCCTTCTGCCCACATATGAAGAAGTTTTTTCACATTGTAATATGTTCTCTGCTGCAGAGGAAATGGCAACGCGGTGCAGATTATGCAGAGATACCATTTTGCTTCGCATCTGAAGAGAATGTCAGTTATCGTTTGTATTCAACAGGAATATTTCGTGTTTGCGAAGGTATGCTTAATACATTATACTCGTAGACTAAAATTTATCAGTAAATCCAGATCCAAATGTTGTATGCTTATATTTAATGTCTTTGTCAGGGTGCACCAGAGACCATTCAAGATAGGCTTGTGGATGTGCCAGCATCATATATCGAAACATATAAGAGATACACACGCCAAGGATCTCGAGTTCTAGCTCTTGCATATAAACGACTTCCTGATATGATGGTAGTTACATATGCTCTCACTCATGAACCTGTTGGCGTCTTGAAAAAAATTGATATTTTACCTAGCAAGTATTGTCAGTAATACGTGTTACAGACGTAGACAACAGAATTTCACCGCTAATTTATTGATATTTGTGTGTGAATCTCTGACGTACAACCTAAATTTATATCAGAAGTCTGGCCTCCTCAGATCTGCTGGTGGAATAGTTAGTTATCTGTGGTGATGCACTCGTCATGCCTCTTGATTTGTTCTTTTCGTAGTTAACAATATAAAACCGCCAGCATCGTTTTGTTCTAAATTATGCAAGCTTCTGCTGACATGCTCGTAAGCTGTACCTTACATGTATTATAATGCTATCCAGGCCAGTGAAGCTAGAGACATGGAAAGAGATGCTGTTGAGAATGACCTTACTTTTGCTGGGTTTGCGGTAATGGCAATATGCTCTTATGCAGCCTTACTTTCTCTTATGCAGCTTTATTTCTTCATATGTTTGGACTGTAATTGATGGTCTGGTATCATTATTGGTTCATAATGGCTTAATCATGCATCACAGGTCTTCAACTGCCCCATTAGATCAGATTCAGCCACCGTTCTCTTGGAATTGAAGAATTCATCTCATGATTTGGTAATTTATACTGCGTATCTTATAATGCACACATTCAGCTCCTTTTCAACTCAGTACAAATTACCTGCAAAGCAGCTATCTCTTTATTCAAGCAAGAAAATATAATTATATAGATTATAGATTTTGGTTCTTTTGATTCCCTTTTTCAGTCGCCATGTCTTTTTTTTGCTGCTCATTCTTTCCTACTTATTCAGATACACAAGATTTCTTATCCTGCTTCCTTCATGATTTCAGGTGATGATTACAGGTGATCAAGCTTTGACAGCTTGTCATGTTGCAAGCCAAGTGCATATTGTATCAAACCCAGTTTTAATTCTTGGTCAATCAAAGACTGGTGACGAATACAAGTGGGTGTCACCTGATGAGAAGGATATCATACCCTACAGGTGCAGTCAATTTTAATAACAGTTACTGTAGGATTAAAGTAAATTCGTATTCTCAACTTATACGACCATAGGTAGTCACATGACACCAGAACTGCATGTTGTCACAATAGTCGCTCTTTCTCTATGCTGGCTTTTTTTTTTTCTGTCATTGAGTGTGTCCGCCTTGGTGTTTTTCCTTTGAAGTATTTTGCTTTGCTGTGTTGATTGCTCAAGTAGAAAAGATCTGACACTTATTCTCAATATCGTTCTCCGGCTTCTGACTAACAAAGGTTGGCCTGTTTTTTTTTTTCAGTGACAAAGAGATCGAAACCCTTGCAGAGACGCATGATTTATGTATTGGAGGTGACAGCATTGAAATGCTACAGGCTACATCTGCTGTTTCGCGAGTCATTCCATTTGTTAAGGTAATTACATCTTTTAATCTTTCACTTGGTTCAGTATTTTTTAGTAACTATTTATGATAGGGTCTGAAGTTGTTGCCATTTTTCTTTTCAGGTTTTTGCGAGAGTTGCTCCACAGCAGAAGGAGCTAATATTAACTACCTTTAAAGCCGTAGGAAGGGGGACTCTGATGTGTGGAGACGGGACAAATGATGTCGGAGCATTGAAGCAGGTAACGCAAGATTGAGCTTTTTAACATTTCAGATTCCAAGCAAAAGTTGCATATGCTTTATTTTCTTTATTATGATTCGACTTTTGTTGTTCACATTTCAAGGCCCATGTTGGAGTGGCCTTACTGAATACTATACCTCCCTCGTCAAGTGGATCAGACTCGTCTAAAGATGATTCAAAGTCAAAGTCAAAAAAGTCGAAAGTGCCAATAGAACCAGCAAGCAAAACCGCAATTCAGAATGGGGAAGGATCATCAAAGGGAAAGATCACACCCCAAAACCGCCACTTAACTGCTGCGGAATTGCAGAGACAAAAGTTAAAGAAGATGATGGATGAACTAAACAATGATGATGGTGATGGCCGGTCAGCTCCCTTAGTCAAACTTGGGGATGCATCAATGGCATCTCCCTTCACAGCTAAACATGCGTCGGTTGCCCCAGTGACAGACATAATCCGACAAGGTCGTAGTACACTGGTGACGACTCTACAGATGTTCAAAATTCTCGGTCTGAACTGTCTTGCCACAGCTTATGTCCTAAGTGTTATGTACTTAGACGGTGTGAAGCTCGGGGATGTCCAGGCTACAATCAGCGGAGTATTAACAGCTGCGTTTTTCCTCTTCATCTCTCATGCTCGACCGCTTCAAACCCTCTCTGCAGAGCGACCCCACCCGAGTGTCTTCTCCATGTACCTCTTCCTCTCTCTGCTTGGGCAGTTTGCTGTTCACATAACCTTCTTGATCTACTCCGTGAAGGAAGCTGAGAAACACATGCCCGAGGAATGCATCGAACCAGATGCACAATTCCATCCAAATCTGGTGAATACGGTGTCGTACATGGTGAGCATGGTGCTTCAAGTTGCAACTTTTGCTGTGAATTATATGGGACATCCGTTTAACCAGAGTATCAGGGAAAATAAACCTTTCTTCTACGCGCTCATTGCTGGAGCAGGGTTCTTCACCGTCATCGCCTCTGATCTGTTCAGGGACCTGAACGATTCGCTGAAGCTGGTTCCTTTACCTGAGGGTATGAGGGATAAGCTTCTCCTCTGGGCTTTGCTTATGTTCATCATCTGCTACTCGTGGGAGCGGTTGCTCAGGTGGGCTTTTCCTGGTAAGATTCCTTCTTGGAAGCATAAGCAAAGAAGTGTCGCTGCAAATCTGGAGAAAAAGAAGAAAGTATAAGAAGAGCCAAACAGGTTAGGTTCAGTCAAATCAATCAATCAGTCTATACATTTTTAACTTGAAAGATAGATGTTCGGTTTTGGGATCTTGTTTTGTGGAAGCTAAAGACACGAGCATTTTTCATAGGTCTCTCTGGTTATTAGACATTTTGTTTCAGATTCACAGTTCACTTTTATATAATGTTCCTCTCATTTCTTAACTTTTTTGTTTGTTACTCTCTGAGAAGAACCACACATTCTCATATCCTTGAACTAAATCTAAGGGTTTTACATTACTCTCTACATTTGTTCCTTCCTTCTTTCTTTCTTTCCAATTCAGCTTAGATATCTGAAAACTTGTATCTTTGTTTGCAAACAATATAATCACATTTTAGACCTTTTAGACGGACTAATAAAGATTTGAATTGCTTATAGTAGTACTAGTTTCTGATTTTAATAGACGGAAAAAAAAAGAAGCTAAAAAGGCTTTTGATCTTTTAATACAACGCGTCATCGTGCAAAGAACAAGACAAAAGTAAATTCCATATCTGCCTTTTGAGTAAGTAGTAATACTCTGCGTGAAGGTCCATGGTAGATTCAATAGAATTGACCACGCGTTCACTATATCATTGGCTGCTATACCGTCTTGTTCTAGCGAGACTATACTCTGATTTTAAAACAACTTCAACAATTAAAAAAAAAGAAAGAAATACACCAATAACGGCAAATATTGAAAAGGGGGAAGAAGAGAAGGTTTTTAGGGATTTTGGCGGTTTTAGGGCTCTCGACACTCCACTTTGACGGCTTTTTCACTTCCTCTGCTTTGTCTTCTTCGTCTCTACCGCCATCCTAAGGTGCTGCTCTGATCCTTTTACTTCCTCTACGTTATGAATTTCATTTCAGTCGTGATTTTTTTCTATGGCGTTGATTTTAATGCTTTTGAGATAGTCTCGCTGTTTTGGCTGTAAAAATGTCGCCTCGCCTCTTCTGAGAGATGGAACTAAAAAACCCTAGCTTCGACATTATCTCTGTTGCGTTTGCTTCTTTTTTTTTTTTTTTTCTGGGTTTAGGATTTCATTTCATCTGCATCATTTAGGTGTTTGGTGATATTGCGTCAGTTAAAACATGAATCGCGTGAAATGTTACAGAAATCGCGATAGGCTATATGAGATGTCTGACAGCTCCGGAAAAGCCATGGTCAAAGTCAAGTTAGAGAAGGAAGAAGCTGGGCTTCTTGTAACATGTGGAATCCAGAAGAGAAAACGACTCCCTCGAGTTCGGCCTTTTGGAGACCAGACAGAAAATAGCTTAGTGGTTCACGAAAACAAACAGCCAAGGATAGCCACTCGACGGTTTACTGAAAGGTAACAAGGACCAAGCCTTTGTTGTCATGCAGCTCATGCTTACCCTTTTGATCTCGTATTTGTCTCAAGTGCGTTGCTTTACGCAGGATTAAGTTTGAGGAGCAAACGCTAGCTGATATGATGAAGGAGAAAGGTGTTTCGTTTGGAGATAAATCTAGAAAATTTGCAGACCAGAGAGAAAGTAGCTTAGTGGTTCACAAAAACAAGCAGTCAAGAATGATCAATCGGTGGAATTCTGAAAGGTAAAAAAGACCAAGCCTTTAGAAACATGCTTATTACCCTTTAAATTTTCATAATTGTATCAAGTGCATTGTTTTATGCAGGATTAAGTTTGGGGAGGAAACACTAGCGGAGATTTTGAAGGAGAAAGGTGCTTCTATTGAGACACCTATTTCGCGGCGCGAGTTAAGAAATACTGCTCGAAAGACAATCGGTGATACTGGGCTCTTGGACCATTTGTTGAAGCATAGTGACGGAAATGTAACACCAGGTGGTACTGATCGGTTTAGGAGGTGTCACAATACTGAAGGAACCATGCAGTATTGGCTAGAGAGCGCTGATTTGATCAAGATTAAACTTGAATCTGGAATTCGTGATCCTAATTGGATACCCCCAGCTTGGTGGAAGATTAAGAGTGAATCACATGAACCGTTTGTGGTCTCCTCAAAGTTTGAGGAAGAAATTGAGAAAATGAAGAGGTAATATGCGTTCAATATTCCTGAGTTTCGTTATATTTTCTTTTGAAGTTGAGATGCGCATGAAATCTCCATTTTGCGGTATGCAGTGATATCAAAGAACTTGTGTCTGATTTGGTCAAAATTAAACGTGAATCTGGAATTCCTGATCCTAACTGGAGTCCACCATCTCGGTTGAAGATTGAGAGTGCATCATATGAATCATCTGCGGTCTCCTCAAAGCTTAGGGAAGAAATTGATACAATGAAGAGGTAATATGCTTGCAATACTGTGAGCTTCAATATTTGCTTTGTTGAAATCGAGGTCCACTTGAAATTTCATTTTCTTTGCGGTATGCAGTGAAATAAAAAATCTGGTATCGAAGCAAAAGTTACCAAATCATGCTGATGCAACTGAGGTGAATTTGAGATTAATTTTTGTTTGTTCAAGGAATATGTTAGGGTTAGCATTATTAGAGACTCCAAACTTTTCTGTTTTGCCATTTTCTTCAGAAACTTTTGAAGGAATTTATGAGTTGGAGGGTAAAGACTGATAAGCAAATTGCGGAGATCTCAAATTCATTGTCTTCGACACAGGTCTAGACTAAAAACAAGTAAAAAGTTTTTGTTTGAAGCTTTTTGCCGAGGGATGATTTTTAACCTAATAAAGCTTTTGTCTACCATATCTCTCCTTTTTTACAGTGCATGGTAAAGGAATTAATTTTGTGGAAAGATAAAGTAGATAAGCAGCTGGTGGCAATTTCAAACATGCAGAACAATCTGCAGGCAAACGGGAGCACTTCCTTCAGCTCAGCTCCTGAAAGTTGGGAACATATATTGCAAACTGCCAACTTGGATGATTTTACTGGAAATGGTTTCGAACCATGGGATGTTGATGCTGACCTTATCGATGTCCTACCAGACGCTGTCAGGCCTGATACCTACTCGCTTCCACCAAATGCTTGCAAAAGCTCTTTCCAAGACCAAATGTGGTTTGAGGAACAGTCATTGCTCAACTCCGAAATGCAAAGGACTGAAAGGTTAGAGCGGTTACTTGGTTTATTGGTCCAGGAGTAGGCTTTGTGGTTTCTTATTGTCTAATATTTTTGCTTCCCTATTTAGCTGCATGACCAGAGCTGAATCCAGAAGCTCAAACCAGGACAAAGCTGAGGTGACCCCGGGTTCTTCAATGACTGCAGGTCCAAGATCAGATATTGACGACCCAAATATTCTTTCTCAGGTGAGGTGGTCAAGCATATTAGAAGCATTGGTTAGGTGTTTTAGTTGAACTTGATGATCAATTTTGGAAAATATTCTAGCCTTCTAGACCCTTGTCATCGTCTTTGAGTAGATGTCACTTTACCACCCTCCCATCTTCTCATAGCCTTTGCTTAATTCACTAACACACATTGCATCTTTTTGGGAAACATTATATTTTCAGGAAGCATTGAAAGAGTTAATGACTTGGAAAGCCAAAGCGGAACAGCAGCTAACAGAAATGTCAGACGCTGTGCGTGCTCTTCAGGGATAGTGTCAACCCAAGTGGCTTTACCCGTATGACGACAGAAACACAATAGGCACAGATTCATCAGTGATCGATTCACCTACATAGAATCCCTTAGAGACTTGTACAGGGTTTCTGCTAAAACTGAACAAAAAAAAAAGAGACTAAGAGATCAGTTAAGGCATCTATCTGGAAAGTTTAGGAACAGGTAGGAAGTGAAGGTAAAGACTCTTATTTAGTAGTAGTTGTTGGTTGATGTATATTCTCTCTGATGACTCTTATTCAACAACGAAGCTTTTTTTTTGGAGTAATCTTCCACTCAATCTTTTCTTTTATTTCTCCCTGTTCTTGAGGTCATATCACCTTTTTGCTATCTGATTCATATGTTTCGTCTTCGGCTCATCATTTGGCTCAGAAACATCTCAAACTATATTATTATTAATCCGAACCGGCCAGTTTGTGTTTTTAAATTACATATATCTCCTCACGACTAAAAAAAAAAATTACATATCCCCTCTCCATAGTGGGCTCTTTAGGCCCTTAAGCCCACTTCTACCTACAAAACGGCCCTATTAGATGGAAGACGGCATAAGACGACAACCCAAATTGATTCCGGCGAGAAAACAAATTTTTAATCAAAATCGAACCGACCTGCCAAACTTCATCCTCTCCGGTTATTTCTTTTGGTTTGGTTTCGCAATCAGCGAAGCTCTAAAATCAGATTTGGCTTTTCTCTAACCCCAGCCCCATCGTCTTCATCTTCACCACACTGGCCATCAAACATGTGCTTTGCTAAATTAAAATAAAAATCAAAGGAAAAGAAGAATTGATTCAATCATCTAATCAATTGATTCTTTTTCCTCCTCTTTGATACCAATTCCCTCCCTGGTAACGCGATTTCTCCATCCCTACTTTCTCTATTTCTTTCTTTCTCCGATTGTTCTTGCTCGATAATTCCACGAGAAGGAAACTTCCAGTTCTTAGGGTTCCGCTTTGGTTCGTAGGGATTTCACTTTAATCCTAGGCAGTTGTCATCTTCGGATTTGTATAGAATTTGAGGGTTTTAGTCTCTACGCTTTCAAGAGTTTAGGAATTCAAAGGTATGATTTCGAATAATGAAATTAATTATCGTGTTTGCTGTGACTTATTATTGATTTCGATATTTAACAACAGTCCAAGTTTTTATATAATATCCATTGAGAATTTAGGTTATTTTCCTGACTTCATAAATTCCCTTAAGAAACTGGACTGACGTCTTGGATGCTTGACGGGTTTAGGAATCTAAAAGGAGAGACTTTTTATTTTTATTTTGGAACAAATCGCTCTGTAATTGAAGAGTTTCACCAAAATATCAAGGTGCGTTTAACATTTCCTAGGTTTTAGGTTCACTATGTTCTGTGTTCAAAGTTTTCTCGTACTGAATTTCGTTTTAGAGATCATTCTGAGACATGCATAGTATCTGCTTTTTTCCTCCTGCATTGGCTGTTAATTTATTGTAAGCTTATTCAAGTTTATATGTCTGTTGGTTAGACCCTGAATTGCGTTATATTGTTACGGTTGTTTGTTCATGTATCTTATTTGTACATTCTATAGTGTTGTTTTGAAGGCTTGAATATTTTCCAGAGCTTGTCTATCACTTGCACTAACTCCTTTGTGGTTCTGTGCAGTAGGGTGGTCTGGCATAGAAGAAGAAGAAGAAGAAAAAAAAAAGAAAGAAGGAAATGGAGGGTTTTGTGGATCATTATATAGTTCTAGGCCTTCCATCTGGAGAGGAAGCTCTGAAGCTTAGCGAGATGGAGATTAAAAAAGCATACAAGTTGAAAGCTTTGGACTTGCATCCGGATAAACGCCCAGATGATCCCGATGCTCAAGAGAAATTTCAGAGGCTCAAGACATCTTACGAGGTTCTCAAAGACGAAAAAGCCCGAAAGCTGTTTGATGATCTTCTGAAAATCCAGCGTGAAAAACAACATAAGAAATCGCAAGTAGATTCAAAGAGGCGTAAGATGATGTCAGATCTGGAGGAAAGGGAGCGTTCTGCTTTTGCTCCGAATCATGCAGCTAGACCTTATGATGAAGAGGAGAGAATCGCAAGGAAGCTCAAGGAGGAGGTAGACAGAATACGTGCAAAACATGCGAAGAAGAGAAGTGGTTTTGAAACTCCAGAGAGTGGTGTAGATGGAAAGAGAAAAAAAGATAGAAGTGGAGCTGGAGCAGGAGCTAGTGTTCAGCTCGACAAAGAGAGAACTTTGAAGGTTTCTTGGGAAAGAATCGGTGAAGGTTATAGAGCAGAAAGGCTAAGGGAAGTGTTTTCAGAGTTTGGTGACGTTGAAGATGTTGTTACTAAGAGTACCGAGAAGAAATGCTCTGCTCTTATTGTAATGGCTACAAAAGATGGAGCTGTGAGTATTATGATTATTATATTTTGGTTTCTTTCTTTTTGATTACATGTCAAACCTAATCATGGATTGTTTGGATTTGTTTTTCTTATAGGTTGCAGCGACGAGAACATTGTGTGGTCATCTCTCTAATCCATTGCTAGTTGTACCTCTTCAGAGAGCAGCCCAAACCGATTTTCTGACCGCTAAGAAATCAGCAGAAGCAGAACCGCAGAGCAACATAGTAGGTGCTGGTTATCAAGCTTATGAAGACGCGGTCATGCAAAGACTGCGAAAGGCAGCTATGAACCAGAAATGATAATGGTGCAGAGCCGGGCCTGAGCTTCTCAGTTTTTTTTTTTTTTTTAAACACCATCTGGGTCTAAAGTTCGAGGCTATGGTGAGCCTATGTTGTGTGTTTTTTCTTTCGACACTTTTTTTTCTCCTTATTTTATATTTTTGAAGTATCTGAGTCTGCGCTTTCTATTTTTGACATTTTTTAACTAAAAATATTGTTGTATAAATGATAAAAGGGCCAAAAATCAAATTACTTTATAAAAAGATTATATAATTCACAATGTGATTCACGTCTATCAAATAAAGATGATATATATATATATATATATATTTTGACATTTGGCTTTGTATATTATTCTTTGTTTTCTCTTGGAGTTGGATGTTGTCGAGGTCCTGTATTTTTGATGTGCGTGGATTCATAACTTTTTTTTTTTTCATATGCTAGATTTTTTAATATTTACTTTATTTGTTGAGTCAATCAACATATCATATCTCGTTTGTATATACCATTTTGTAAACCAAAAAGAAAAATGTGGATCAGTGAATGTTTTCAAATCTAAGATTTTATATGCATATGAAGCACATGGTTGTAGAAATTTTGGATATTGACAAAAACTGTAGAGAAAAAAGGCACAGAAATAGACAAGAATGCGTCGGCAATAGAATGAATACGGACGGATTCACGAGTTTCATAAATCTTTCTTTTCATTCTCTTATGTTTTTTGGGTTTATAAAAAAACTTTAACCCTTGATATTTTGAAGAAAATAGACAACGTGCTATATTTTATATATTTTTAGTAGATAAAAATTCAGGTTTGGAAAAACAGTGGATAGAGTATTTAGTGAAACCATTTGAAGACGTTTTTTACTCAGTCTATAAATATCGGTACAGCTAACAGTTCTTTACTTAGTCTATACTTCAAGTATTTTTTTTTCTATACTTCAAGTATTTTTTTTTCTATACTCCAAGTAGATAATCATTAATCACATGATTTTAGGTGTTAAAAGTTCAAACAATATAAAACACGCGGTGTGGTAATATTAAAGACATTTTCATTTAAGAAGTAATAAGTTTTTGGTTCATGCAATACAACTCAAAAATTTACTTCCCATTTTGCATTTGATGTGAACCATAAAAAATTAAAAAACTCAAATGGAAAGCTAACTAATGCTAATCATCCATTCTCCAAAAGTGGTCAAAAAAAGGTTTATCTCTCCTTGCTCTTGACTTCCCTCTCTTCAATGCTTTAAGTCAGTTTCTTTCCTCATTCAACAGTTTCGTTTCTTCTTCTTCTTCATCTTCCTCTTCTTCTTCTGCTTAAACGAAACCACAGAGAAATCAGACTCTCAAACTATGGCCAGCAAATCAAGAACCAGATGGGTTCTACCTTACAAGACCAAAAACGTGGAAGACGATTACTTTCTGGGTCAAGTGCTCGGGCAAGGACAATTCGGAACCACTTTCCTCTGTACCCATAACCAGACGGGTCAAAAGCTTGCCTGCAAATCCATACCCAAAAGGAAGCTCCTTTGCCAGGAAGATTACGACGACGTTTTGAGGGAGATTCAGATAATGCATCATTTGTCGGAATATCCCAACGTTGTCCGGATAGAAGGCACGTACGAGGACGCCAAGAGCGTGCACCTTGTGATGGAGCTCTGCGAAGGCGGTGAATTGTTCGATAGAATCGTGAAGAAAGGTCATTACAGCGAGAGAGAAGCTGCTAAGCTCATCAAGACCATTGTTGGTGTCGTTGAGGCTTGTCACTCTCTTGGGGTTATGCATAGAGATCTTAAGCCTGAGAATTTCTTGTTCACATCTTCCGATGAAGATGCTTCTCTTAAATCTACCGACTTTGGCCTCTCTGTTTTCTGCAAACCAGGTCTGATTTTGATTTTTTTTTTTTCCCCTTTCATATTCCTCTCTAGTTTCAACCATGCTTGTGTGTTGTCAATATTTCAGAGATACTCTGTTTTGGTTAGTGATGTTATGAGTATCTATTACCTTAGTTGATGATTTGGTGAGTCAGGAGCAATCATATAATCTGCAGCTTCTCTACTAATGATTTTATTTAATTACTGCACTTGTCAAGTGTCTTTCTCTCTTCTGTGTTGATTTATGGAAGAAACATCAGATATGGTTTCCAGCTTGGTGTTCACTAAAATGATCAAAAGGGATGCTTTACAGAATGAAATTAACCGAGATTCTGTGTTCTTGGATATGATTAATGGCTGTTTAGCTTTAGCAAATCTATGCTGTGAGACTTTGAGTTAGTGTGTGTTTCAGTTGAATATAGAGCTCTGGTTTTGGCACACAAATCTTTGTTTGTTTTATTGTTTTTCAGGGGAAACGTTTTCAGAACTTGTTGGTAGCGCCTACTATGTGGCACCTGAGGTTCTACATAAGCATTATGGCCGTGAATGTGATGTATGGAGCGCTGGAGTTATCCTCTACATCCTCTTGTGTGGTTATCCTCCTTTCTGGGCTGGTTAGACTTTTCCCAATCCCTTTCTTTCTCTTCAAAGATAATATTATCGCGGCGTGCTTACTCTCTGAATCATGTATTCTGTAACCAGAGGGTGAAATTGGCATCTTCAGAAAGATTTTACAGGGAAAGCTGGACTTTGAGACCAATCCTTGGCCTAGCATTTCAGAGAGTGCCAAGGATCTTATAAAGAAAATGCTCGAGAGCAATCCAAAGAAAAGGCTAACTGCTCATCAAGTGTTGTGTAAGTTCTCGTATTTTTGAGCCTTGGCCATCTAAAAGTATTGCAAGTGGATTCATTCAAGCTTTCTTCTTTGCCAGGTCACCCGTGGATTGTGGATGATAAGGTTGCTCCAGATAAACCTTTGGACTGCGCAGTAGTGTCCCGCCTGAAAAAGTTCTCTGCAATGAACAAACTTAAGAAGATGGCTTTACGCGTGATTGCAGAGAGACTATCTGAGGAAGAAATCGGTGGGCTCAAAGAACTATTCAAAATGATAGACACAGATAACAGTGGGACCATCACATTTGAAGAGTTAAGAGACATTATGAGGCGCGTTGGCTCAGAGCTTATGGAATCAGAGATCCAAGAACTCTTGCGCGCAGTAACCAACAACTCTTTCATTATTAACCTATACTGTAGATTAAGCATAATCCAATATCATCCTCTCATTGTGTGTGTGTGTGTGTATCAGGCTGATCTTGATGAAAGTGGAGCAATTGACTATGGAGAGTTCTTAGCTGCAACAATCCACTTGAACAAGCTGGAGAGAGAGGAGAATCTAGTAGCTGCCTTCTCCTTCTTTGACAAAGATGCAAGTGGTTACATCACCATGGACGAGCTTCAACAGGCTTGGAAGGAATTTGGTATAAACGATTCACATCTTGATGAAATAATCAAAGACATTGATCAAGACAATGTGAGTAGCTAGTAACACAAAGATCATTACTGTTTCTTGATCAAAGGAGCTTGGAAGAATGTTTATGGTGTTGGTTTTGTAGGATGGACAAATAGACTATGGAGAATTTGTGGCAATGATGAGGAAAGGAAACGGCAATGGAGGGATTAGCCGGAGATCAATGAGGAACACTCTTAACTTTGCAACTCCTCTTCCTGATGAGTCAACAATGAATGACTAAACTTTTCATTTTAGTGACTTTTGTAGCAAACATTCACATGATAGAACTTGCTGTTTCTATTTAATTTAACTATGTTTTTTTTGAAAAGTTTTTTCTGTCTAGTAATTGAAATTAAGACAAGAGTTGAGTGGCAAACTTATGATATGGATCGATCTAAATAAATCCCTCCATTGCCGAGGTTATTATATAAAAGAAGATATAACATAGGCAAATGTTTCTAATTTCTTATGTTGGCACTGTCCTCATGTAGAAATTAGATACAGAGAGTTTAGGATAAAAGCAGCAAATCTGTTTGACATTAATAACTTTAACTAAATAATTTCCAAGTGAAAACGAAAACAAACAAAAATTAAGAAACTATAACTGAAGTGTTAGAAAATCGGTTTAGAGAGTGGGAATAACAAAATAAGTAAAAGGAAGAAGATTTAAAGATTAGTTTGTTTTCTTGTTGTCTTCTTCTTCTTTCTCAGTTATCAACTTCTTCTCTGCAGTTTCATCCTCACCTCCAAAACCGAACTCGTTAACACGTGTCTTGTCCACAGGGTACACCCACCTTTGGTATAAGTATATCAAGAATATCACATCTGAAACACAGAGAGTGAGAGAAAGAGATCGATTATATAAGCCTGTTTCTGGAATCTGAAATCAAAGTAGAGAGAGGATAGTTGATAGATTTTACTCACCATCTCGAAATACAGAAAGTCGATGCAGAATCGGCATTTTGATGACAAATGCAAACAGATCGTCGATGATGGTGTTGAGGAACTTATAAGTCATCTGTCTCCATGGTAAATGTGCCACTGACTTTAGCTTATAGTTGATGAAAAGCTGAGGACACATCATGATGAAACCTGCAAAGCACACACCCCATTGATTTCATTTCTACACACTTCCACAATGAGAGATTCTCAACAGTTTTCTTGAGGATGGTAAAGGCATTTACCGAACATGTAGACACAGCTTGTTAGTGAAGACAGGATCCAAGAATACCAGCTCTTGTGGCGTTCGTAAGCGAGAGAATATATGGATAAGCCGATGACAAGGAGGAGGAGCACATAGGATAAGAATTTGATGGCGATGTCATCATACTCCTTGGTTTTATTGCTTGAATAGGATTCACGATCGTGGAACCTCAGCCTTGGAATCATTCCACTTCGATCAACCTGTTAAGTTAAAATGTTTGACAAGGTTGATATGTTTAGCAACAACATCAGAGATGCTCATAGCAAATTCTTGCTGGTTCTGAAATGTCAGATTCAGTTATGTAAACATTTTAAGTACCTCTATACGCATGGCTTTCCCTATTTTCCAGAATTCAATGCAGACACCAACTCCGGAACTAGCCAGTATCATCCATGAAGTGTCGTTGTCAAGCAGGTAGAGGAAGATGACAAACTGACAGATAAAGTTCAGTACAACAGACTTTGCAGACAGTCCTTCCATAGATTTGTTTTTGTTCCAGAACTGGATATCTACAGGGTAAACAAAAGATAAGTCAAACTCAACAAACGTTAGGAAAGATGCTGTTATCTTTTGGGTCTGAAATTACCATTTTTGAATGCCAAGAAGTCGAACACAGAATGAAGCATCGAAACAAACATCGTGATGCCCAACAGATAGGGATTTCCTTCCAAAAACACCCTCTGCAAAACAAAATACATATTATTACAGTCAGCTCCAAGAAGAAACCAAGAATGTGTAAAGAAAATAATTAACAGTATCTATTCAATACCTAATACCACATCATCAGTTGATGCGATGGAAGATGGTAATTATATATACAGGACAAGAATTACCTTTAGTTCGTCAGATTCACCATCAAGCATGCTTCCATAGCTACGCTGCATCTGGAAAGACTGATCAACTTGCTGAAACAGTTGCCACTTCATCATGCTTATGGGGCTTATTTCCAGATTAAGTGGTAGTTCTGAGACTGTCTCGTTGATTGGAATCATCTTGTCCCTTAGCAGCCAAAACTCATTGAAGTAAATTGTAGGATAGTAATTTCCCGTGCTAGGTTCTACCAGCAAGTCTGCAGATCTAAAGTTAAGTACAACATAATAACAAAATGGGCAAGTAGACAATCACACATGTTGCATGCCAAAATAAGAATCCTCTTACAAAATCCCCATTCCACCAGTTAAAAGAAAAGAAAAAATGGAAACAAAGAAGATACTATTGTGCACCATATGCACAGAAACAAATCAAGAGACGTAAAAATACTTTTCACCATCCAAGGACCCAAGAACCTATAAATGCTTGAATTTTTCTTTTGAAAATAGTTTGATTCGGTTAATGCTGAAAAAGGCATGGAAGATAAAGCATGAAGCAGTCACATGGATAGCCCCTCAAAATTTACTGAAAACTTCTGAAAATAGATTTTTGTAAAACCCAAATAATAATAAGAATTTCATTATTTTCCCAAAATAGATTGAAGGATACGAGGAGCAATGTTTGGTGGCACACCATTCTGTGAATAACTGTTACAAAAAAAAAACGGATATTAGTCTAACAGTATTCCTTCAACTGCCAATTGTTTTGGTTAATTATCTTTTTAATGCAGGAGCCTCTCCCCTGCGATTGCTTAAGGTTATAGCCATAGTTGATCAGTTAAATTACTCTGTTAAGTTATTTTGCACAATAAGCAGAGTAATATGTACATCAAGATAGAAAGTGCATCCATCTTTGATTATTCATCTATCTTGTTTCATTTTAGTCTCCATTGTACGTTCCTAGAGTTCCAATTTTTATACAACAAAAAATACCAGAACCGACTTACTGAGTAAAATCATCGACCAGGTTAATCGTGACATTCGGTTTCCAGAGGGACACCCATTCCACAGGAACCTCTTCCTTGAGTTCCGACTTCTTATCACCAACTTTCTGCAAAGTTGCGTTAGTTCATTACACATTCATCAGAACAAGACAATAACATATAACAATGTGCAATATTTTCTGGAAGAAAACTTCCACACAGGCATACCTCAACTTCTGGTTGGGATTCAGCAGAGTCTTTGGGATTACCCAAGAGACTCTTCTTCTTATCTACTTTTCGCTTTGGAAAGTAAGTCGCAACAGCTGAAATAGTGAAAAGACCAGTCCAATTCAGCTAATAGAGAAACCGAATTTCTAATAGTTTTCATAAATAAGTGTTTTTTAGAGAGGTGGTCTTACGGTGAGTCCTGCCAAAACTGTTATGAGGTTGGTATTCAGGATCACTGGGGTCTATGGGGAATCCAGACCGAGCAAAGAAGACATGAGCATACAGACTTCCATTGTTCTGTAGTGTCTGGAACAGAATAACATATCAATTTAGTAAATCAATTCAGCTTATTAGAACAGTGATACCGGAGGAAGAATATGCAGAAAGCCAAATACGAATGATAAAAAAGTCAAAGCATGTGAATTTTCACCTCAGATGGATGATACTTGAGTGACATGGTCCTAATGCTCTCTGGTGTCCATACAGCATAAGGAATATTCGTCTCATGCCAAAAAAGCGCACCTTCGTTGCCAAAGTCATTGAACTTCTCTTGCTCAGAAAGATAAAACCACATATCCTGCAAGAAAAAACATTGTTTGCGTTTAGAATCAAAACATAAACAGCAGTCATGAACCAGAACAAATCTTAAAAACCCTTAATTCTCTAATCAAACACAACCAGTAGAGCAGCCAGCAAGTAAATATGATTACAAAACAAATTCTGAGAGTTTACACACGATTTGAAAATCAGCAAGAGAGAAAGAAAAAAAGAAAAAAAGAAAAGGCAATCCAATAGTAGAAGAATAAGTTAGCTACCAATGATTCTCCCTTGTGAAAGAGATTGGTCATGAGGTGAGGAGACTGAGAGGGATCCATCGGTTTCTGTTTAGGGGAAAAGAACTTGGAAGCAAAATACCAGAAAACGGCGATCCTAACGATCCCGGAGATCGTGGAACCAAACCCACCGGCTTGTCGCTGCTGCTGCTGAGGTTGAGCATCGCCAGCCGCCTCTGCCACCGCCGCCGTTTGTCCTACCGGCGGGGCCATATTAGCTAATCGAGAAGGAGGATAGTTTCGTTTCGTACACGGCGGATTCAGAGCAGCTGAGATGTGAATTCGCCGAGGAGATTGGAATCGATTCGATAGAGAGATATTTAAGGGAGATTATAATTTATATTATATTTTGGATGTAAATCAGAAAGATGAATAAACAAATACGTTTTAGATTTGTTGTGGTGAGTCGTGTGACGAAGCTCTTCCAATGTAATGCAACTAAGAGTATGACACAGCATTATTGTCTGAACTGAAAAAACAATTGCATGTTAAGACTATATTTTAGATATTTTACTTTTATTGCCCCCCAATCATGTTCAATTTTTTTTTTCAATTTCACCCCCATATTTCGAAATTGCATAGAACCCCTTTGGTTTATTCACCACGAGCCTTCTTCATACATGGGTTTGGTTGCCAGTTTGTGAATCGAATGACTTTAGTTTTTGGTTATATGCCTAAACTTTCATACGAGATTTACCAAAACAAAATAGTTATCAAAATAGGTTTTGGTCACTTGGAGAGTACTAATCTCAAGTCTCCTTAAATGTTTCCTACTAAAATGGAGAAGAATAGTCTTTCTCTTAAACAAAAACCAGACTGGTCTCAGTCATCTGCATCCTGAAGGCCGTGCTTGTTCATGAGCTCCTCCAAAGACTCATCAAACTCTCTCTCCAGATCAAGCATCTCCTCATAATGCCTCTTCTTCATCTCTGCCATCTTCTTCTCTTGCTCCTCTATGAGCTTCTCCCTCTCCTCCACAAACTCCTTCATCTCTTTCTCTTGAAACGCTATGAAGCTAGAAACCTCCTCAGCTCTGCACAACAATCAAAACCAGAGAAATTAAGTTACTCTTGAGTCTCTCTCTCTCGCACACACACAAAAAGCAGGATTATGTAAGTATGCACACCTCTTTCGTAATTCATCTTTGCTGGAGGGATTTGCGTTCTTTTGCTGCTGCTCTACAACCTTAGCACGTTCCTGCTGCTGCAACTTCTCGAAAATCTCCTCCTTTGCATCTCTCTCCTCATGTATCCGTTTGAATGCTTCTTTGAAAAACTTGTCTTGCAAATCCATCTTCAAACCACCGGTTTGTAGGTAATTCATAAAAAAGTGTATCAGTTGGTATAATTCAAAACATCGAGTTTGTGTTTTCGAGAGAAAAACATACCTCCTCTCTGTTATGCTCATGCTGCATCTTTGTTCTCTGTCTCACGATACGATAATCCTCTGCTGATTTACGCAGCTTCTCGCTTAAGATTCCCAGAGACTCCTCAAGCACCTTTTTGTGGTTCATTTGTTTAGTAACCTTGTTCTTGTACCAGTTTAGCTGCTGATTGTCCTCAGCGATCTGCCTCAGCTCCTTCACAACATTCTCCTGGTATGACTTCATCTCGAATTTCAGCATCGTTTTGCCTAATAAACCATACAAAAACACATCAGATGCATTCACAAGCACCAACGAAACTCTAAATCCCAAGGACAAGACTTAAAAAACATATTATCTAATTTCTGAGAGAGAGAACCTCGACAGTGCTGATTGAATACGTCCAGATCTTGCTTGGTTGCAAGGAAGCCATATAGTTGGCGAACTCCTCCAGTAAACAAATTGCGCCGACGGTCCCAGGCGTTTCTATCTAACCCTTGCTCAACTAAGTCCCTGTGCAGGCGGTCAGCCTCAAAATAGCCAGTGGCACTGTTCTCAAAGATCAGAACACTCATCCCACGGTGGCCCTGTGGACCATAGGAATGACGTGCTCTAATAGCAGGATACTCGTTGAAGTACTCCAGTAGCTCTTGGTTGCCCATACCTAGCCACTGAAATGTAACATAGTGAAATTTTCAACCCTAGGATCAGCAGAATGCAAAAGAAGATTAAAAGGGTAAAAGACAGACGAATCTCTCACCTTATCATTATCGTCCTTGTCCAGTCTGGTGTTCATAATGATTACCATTGGCGGCCAGACAATCTCATGATCCTTTTCATCCGCACCCAAACCCTTCCACTGCCCGAAAATTTCACCAGACGGAATGACAGTTGCTCCTCTCATCTGCAGATCCTTGTCTAGGACTTCAGCCAGTTCCCTATGGAGCTTAACTCTTCTAGCTCCCTTTGTCCTCGCATGAGCTAGAAGTGGCTGCAGGTTGTACCAGTCAATAGCACCAGGCCCGCCCTGACAAGCTGGACAATGCCACTGCCTCTGTGGTTCATTTATCTGCTCGATAGACAAGCTATCCAAGCTGTCGAAAAACTTTTTGAACCATTTGTTCTGCTTCCGTGTCTCATGGCTCTGTTGACTCACATCCGAGTCATACTCATCACTCACAAGGTCTTCATCAGAATCATCCAAACCATCGCAATCATCCTCCTCTTCCTCAGAAACATTCTCCACATCATCATCCTCGTCCGGGATCTCCTGCGGAACAGTGTGCCGAGCAGCACCTGCTCTAGACTGCCAATTCCATCCTCCTTCTAAAGGAGGGCGAACTACAGGTGGCGGAGCGACATAGTTGTTACCATACCCTCTGTTCAGTGCTTGTCCCCGACCAGTTCCTCGACCGGTAGAGACCCTCGAATCAGTAGCTTGAGTTCCCCGACCATTGGCGTTACCTCTCCCAGTCACATGATTGCCTCTCCCTTGTTGCTGATTGCCTCTCCCTTGTTGCTGATTGCCCCTCCCTTGTTGCTGACCGCTCCAAGCTCTAGGAGGGTTCTGGTTATGAGAAGCCCAAGCTTTTTCAGCTTTGTTCTTGTTCTTTTTGGAGATGAACTCCCATTCTCCTCCATCATCTTGCGAAGGAGCCAGATTCGTCCCAGCAAAACCTTGCACCAACTGTTCGACCTCTGGGTTAGAACCACCCTGAGCGACGTTCTTTCCCTTAGACTTTGGATCAGCCCAAGCACTCATTTCGAACCTGTAAAGAGGCACCAGTTCATCAAAGAGAGCCACATACATTCCCAATATTTTCAAATCTACACAAACGTGATTTTACAGCAAGGAAACATGCATAGGCTAAACAAGAAGACGTCAAAGCACAAACGGTAAATCAAGGCCGTATATGAAACGAAACTCCAAACCAAATATTTTCGCTGTCAAAGACTACGCAGAGAGCTAAAACGAGGAAAGCACAACAAAACAAACAAAACCGACAATATGAAGTCGACCTCGTTACAGACTTCCTACACTAAAATCTGAAAAGCAGGAAAACAAAAAAAAAAATGCAAAAAGTAAAAACCCATAGCACGAAAACCTTCGAAATAGAGAACATTAGGGCATTTTTCCGACGAAGAAAAAAATCGAAATCGAGCACAGAATGTGTAGGGAGGGAGCGATCAACGCCTGAAAGGAAGAACTTACAGAGAAAACGACGGAAATTGCGAGATTAAGCGCCGGAGAGTGAGAGTACTGCGAAGGTAAGTGTGGGGAGAAAGAAGAGAGTGAAGACGAAATAACAAATGAGGACGCTTTGTGAATCGCTTCTCTAAACGGCCTTTTATTTTCCGAGTCCGGACTCCAAATTTCATTCAATTTGATTTATTTTTTACTTTTTTTTTGTCTTTGCTCGACTTTTTTTTTGGCCCATTATCAATTCATTACGCACAAACATGACTGGTTATTTTTTGTTTATCAACGTAGGAAAATGCTATTTTGAGTATTTAATTATCTTATCATTCACAAAAAGTTGAAATTCAATTTTCTATATTTATTGATTATTAAATATTTTTCCTATACCTTAATAGATAAAATTAGAAATTATATATATATTACCTCATTTAAAATATATTATTACACATTTAGTATATTATTTTCTTCATACGTGTACAAAAATCAAAAATATTTACAATAAAACATAATGAATATCGTATATCAAATTATAAATAGAAAAATAAAATAAAAAAGAAACGATACTTATCAACGTTTACGCAATAATTTTATTTTATATTTATAGTTTTTTGGAAAAGAATCAGTATAATTTAAGGAAAAGATCACAAAGTAACTGAAATTTTTAATCTAATAGAGAAAAAAACTAATTTCTATATTTCTATTGTTTAGATATTAACATAAAGTATTGGTCTTTTTTAATATCTCATCTATACATATAGTGTGAGTAATTCAGTGAGATGGATATGAGTATATATCATTATATCTTTCCTAGTTCAGTTTTGAGGTTAGCTACTAAAATTATTAGTTTTAAGTCAAAAATCAAAAGAAACTAGAGGTCAGGTTAAGGTTATGTAGACTAATGTTTTTCAATTAATGTCTTTATAATGTATGTTGTTGGAAGGAAATTTTGTATATCAATATCTCATAATAACAAGACAAGGAAAAAACTGGGCCGGTATGACAATAATTAAATTTTTGAGATAAGAAAATACCCAAAAGCCCAATCATAAAGCCTTTCTTCTTCTCCTCCAACAAACCACGGACGAAGAAAAGCCTTCGTTTTCCACTCCAAAACATGGCGTAATTGTGCAGAGATCCAACCATACTTCAGTTCTGCTGTCACTATTTGAGAGGAAGAAGCTCGAGATCTGAGCAGTTCCATAATACCTCAACTAGTTAAAAAGAGCTTAGACTACACAGAAAGGGCTACAGACATGGATAAGATGAATCAGGCCTTTGAGAAGATGAAGATGTTGGTGGGTATGGAGGTTGAAGACGAGCAACGAGCTGCCGAGGAAGAAAGCTCGCTCTCATTCATGGATGACCTTAATCGCAATTGCGCTTTATCTACCAAACAGGTTCCTAAATGGCCCAGATTTTTTTTTTTCTTATATTGGTTCTCTTTGATCAGGTCATCTGCATTTGGCTGTTTCTTGTAATTTCGTGTTTGTCGTTACGATTTATCTCAATGCGTAATGTGTTTTCGTCCAATTAAGGAAGCTGAGCTCGTGATTTCGATTAAATCCAGCAATGTAAAATTCATGCACAGAAAAACTGATGTACTAGTGGAGAAGGATGATCAAATTTCCTGGAATATGACTGAAGTGGTTAGATAAAAGTTTGATTAACATGACTGCTAAATACTTTGGTTTATTTACTGTATATCTCGTTTACACGAATCTGTTGAGTGTCTTGAATTGGTATATCTTCAGCTAATATGCTGCTTTTCTCCGTCTGCTTCCATGAGAACAGAGATTCTATGGCTTTGCGATTTGCTTGTCAGCAGGCTTGGCATGTACTCTTTTGGTAAGTGCAACTCTTATGCATGTGAGAAAGCACTAGCCTTCATTAACTGGTGCTCTAAATCTTTAATCTTTTTACCTGTTTTGACAATGCAGTCAATGCTTGTTTTCTTCAATCCAGTCAAGTTTGGCATCACATTCACTCTGGGAAATTTGATGGCACTTGGGAGGTCCGTATTGGATGTTTAGTTTAGCTTGTAATATGGCATTGGGTTTACGCAAGTCTCTGTGGACAAGTGTCTCTCTCTCTGCTCCTAGATTTTTAAGTGTCATGTCGTTTTTGTATGGCAGCACAGCATTCCTTATAGGCCCACAACGGCAGGTGACGATGATGCTTGACCCAGCTCGTATCTACGCCACGGCTTTGTATCTAGCAAGCATTATCATTGCCTTATTTTGCGCTCTCTATGTAAGTGGCGATGCTCAATTCTATCTATTGGATAGAAAATTTACTGAGCATAGTAAAATTTTGGTTGAGACTAGAGTGCATTGGTACACACATCTGTCGTTTTCTTTCTGTACAGGTTCGTAACAAGCTGCTCACTCTGCTGGCTATCATTCTTGAGTTCTCTGGTCTAATTTGGTATGCTAAAACTTGGTTTCAAGCTCTTACGTTTATAACTTTCTCGCTATTTATACATGGACTCTGCATGTAGTCATATAACACAATTACATGATCTTCTCATTTGGTTTCTGAGTTTGCCGCAAAAGCTGTCATTCATCTTGGAGATTCATCTTGGAGAATTCCCTCTGTTTTTTAAAACCGCAGGTATAGCTTGAGCTACATCCCTTTTGCAAGGACCATGGTCTCAAAGGTCTTCATGACTTGTTTCGACACCGAGTTTTAAGCAGAGCCATATACACATGGACTCAACAATTTTTCGTCCCTCAACAATTGTGCTCTGTTTGAACGATTGGTCGGTCTCCTCCAAATGTATTCAAAGCTTGACTTGTTTGATGCACCAAGAACACTAAAAGCGCTAGTAGTCCACCTATGGCTTATCTTTGAGCTCGTTTTGGTTTCTACTTGCTCTTTCTGAAGATGAAGTTCCTGTCTTCACAAATCCTACTACAGTTTTTTGTATATTATGATGTGGAATTTAACGTAGATTGGGTGCGGTAGCTTTCTCCCTTTTTCCTTCTTTGTTGAGTTTCTTCCCGGAATAATAAAGTATATCAACCATCTAGATATTGTATTTTGGGTATTTCAGACATATTGATTCTCTCCTACTTGCTGCAGCATTCAGAAACTTTAAGCACCACTATTCAGTTTGAAATCTAACATTGTTCAACTACATATAAGGGTTTCGATAAGTGTATTTATACAAAACACTCATACTTTGCCCCTTCATTTCGGAAAACGAGAGAAAAATCTGAAATCACTGCAAGAATAGAAATCAATCCATTGGCTTAATGCAAAATCACATAGTACAATACAACCTTGTCAAATGCTAGGAGATAAGACATAAGGAGAAGATTCAACAGAAATTAAATTGCAGAAGAAGAACAAAGCTCAACTTAGGAGCCAAATGATTAAAGCAAAGTACTACTGGCTGGAAAAGTGAGAAGATCTCTAGAAGACAACAGTGTCAAGCATGGTGCCAAGTGTCTGAACAATGTTGGATGACATCAAGTTGGAAACATGTTCTTCCAGATGCTTCTTTGCGTCTTGTCTTCCGACATTCACGATCGCCAGTTTCTCTGGTGACAACTCGTCCTCTTCTTGTACTGCCTTGTTATACTTAGCAGCCAAGTTCAACATTTCCTGCACCGTCTGTTCGTTTGTCTGGGAGTGGGTGTCAAAGCGCCTTAGCGTCAGGCCATCTGTCCATTTCTTCTTGTGGAGGTTTAGTAACATCTTCTCCTCGAGCTCGTTCTTCCTATAGTTGATGGCTATTGAATAATAGTGTCTGTTCAATCCATGAATCAAGGCCTACACAGTAGTATCCAAACGTAAGTATCAGAGAGATAACAAAAAATAACTGGAAAACCAAAAAACAAACAAAAAAATAACTGGAAAACCACGTTTCATTTTGTGCTCCAACTTAAAAACAAACAAAAAATAACTGGAAAACGACGTTTCATTATGAGATCCATCACCTGGATCGATGGTTTGTTCAGGTGCCCAAGGTTTGATGTTGTTTGACGAGGTTCTTGCCCAAGCATAATGGTCTGTGGATTTATCGAGCGGAACGCGTCAATCACCACTTTGCCCTTCACACTTTGAATCGGATCTACGACCACTGCTACAGCTCGCTGGTTCAAAGCTTCAAAACTCTACAAAAGCACACAGATGCTCACAATGAACAACATACATATTGCAATTTAAAAATATAGATACAAATGCAAAGGCAATCATAACAGGTTATATTACACAAAGATTAACAGTCTATAGTGCTTGGGCCATGAAGAAAGTATGGGAAAAAGTAAACAGCAGATTCTCGGGTAAAGTTAACATATTCAAACAAAGAAACGAAGAGACAACCTACCTGTTGAGTGTTAATGTCAACACCAGAAAGCCAGCAGCCAAATCCAGGATGTGAATGATACCAACCAACCACCATTTCAGGTCTGAAATTCGACGATACAAGAAAAAGAAAGATCAAAGCCAGAGTTTTAGGATTGGAAGACCAAGTAAGTATCATCATTATGATGTAAACAAAAAAGGTCTAAGAGTAGATGTGTGTAGAGAAAAATCAATTTACCTTCCGGTTTGTTTAAGCATGTCGAGCATATTAGTCTGGAAAACATGATCAACAGCTTCCACACTAACACCAGTACCACTCTGAGGCATCGCAAAGACATCCACAACTCGAACAGTGTACTCATCCACGAACTCTCCAAGCATCAGTCCCATGACTTCCATAGGAACCCCAGCTCTTCCTGCGATTTTAGTAGCACCATCACAAAAATCAGCAACACGAATCCACATGGCAATAACACTCTAAACCTAAGAATGAGCTAGGAGAGATACAATCAGATCGATAAAATCTTAGAAATCCTATAGCTCCAGAGCAAAGAGGACAAGGGGAAATCACAGAGAGCGAAATAAATCAGAAACCCTAAGCACAGGGAAAGTAATTGGAGCACAGGATGGAGGATTACCGTGCTTGAGCATCTTGAGGAGGGCGAGAGAAGAGATGTAAACCTGCTCCGACGTGTCGAGGGTCGGAGAATCAGGCGATGCGTGACCCAAACCGCCACCGGCGCCGAAGATTCGCTGTAATCTCTCCATAATCAGATAAATCAGTCGTGTTCTTCTGGGTTGCTGGCTACAACAATGGGGAGATCTTATAAAACCTCGAGAGTTTTCTTTATTAACAAGACAAGACGGAGATGATGGATCTTATTCGATCGTAGGACTAGGATCAATTACCCGAAACTATTTAGTATTTACATTCAAGTCCTCCAATATTTCCGTTTTTTATTGTCGACCATAATTACTCCACAACATCCCATTCCCAAACATAACGAATTTTGATTTTCCTTTTATTTTTCTCTAAGCGGGCTCATATAAGAGAGGATTATTAAAAAATATATATATTAAAATCATTGCACACCAGGTTCTTATGTTTACTGGTTAGTATAAGATGAATTCTAGAGTTTTTGTTAGATTAATCAGTCAATTGAAGTATAGAGAGTAATATGATTAGCTTGCCGTATTTTATGTTTAGAATTTTAAAAATGTAATTTTCCGAGATATGTTCGCAATGATAGAATTCGTGTACTCTTTTGTTTTTCCACCAATGGTTTTATTCGGCACCTTCAAACGTTAACAAAGATCAACGAAGAAGTTAAAAACGACACCGTTTCTAGGATTAACAAAGCTTCTTCAACAAAGCCTCATCGCACAGCTTTTGACCCAAATCAAACTGTAATGGATGGAAAAAGAAGAATCTCTTGGGAGCAGCAACATTTTTTTGGAACGAAACTGTAAAGAGGTTACTCAAAGATCAGGCATGCCCTTTCCTGTTTTAGCATCATATGTCTGCTCCCAGACAAGATCCATTGGTGTGTCCTTAGGCCCAGCTGCAAAAAAAGAATTGAAAAATATGGCCATGTATCAAACCTTTCTGTAACAAAACCGCTACAATCAAATCCTTTTCAAATTTATAGAGAGATGACATGTGCGTACTGAGTTTATATATGGTTAAAACCAAGAATCTTAGTTGCTGGAGTAATAATGACAAGGGCAAGCCAAGAAAGCATGTTTCTTATACGATCTCAGAAGAGAATCAATGTGTCTACTCCTTTACCTCAGAATCAATATGGTCGATTTATGATTATGTTTTTCCAATAGCTGAGAGATGTCTACTATATGCAATTCCAAAATTCTGTGGGTAAAGAGATGCTGAGCTTCTACGTACCGGTGGTGGGTCTTGGTGTTGCCCTTATCTTTAGAATCTCTGGGCGAGGAATTATCGAACCAGATGTGCCTATGCCTCTGGCAACTCTTACTTTTGTTCCATCCTCTAAGTACTTTACACCAACCTTACAAGGCCTCCTGAGGTAGAAAAGATAATAGACAAAATAAGAAATCCCTCCATTGAACACAATAGTAATTGGTGATAGTAATGCAAAGTGAGATCATTACCCAGTGACAGGATCAACAACTTGGACATTTGAGGCATGAAGAGGAGCCTCTACCGTGAAAATTCCACCTTCATGATCAGGGCCTCCCTTTATATGCTTCTTGATCTGCGAATATAGATGAAAAGATCAGAGAAAAAAACAAAAATAATACACAAACTATGACATCCAAAACGAAAAGAGTTCAACTTGAACAATTCATAACATAAGGTAGCTAAATCCATGGAATTAGACCCGCTTTGTGATTTTTGTAACCAACCAATTGATGCTTGAAGTCAAAGATAAGAATCAACCGAAGATCAATAACTCCATGATTGGTGTTAAGCTAGTAATACAGTCCTGATTCGATACTAGTCAAACTCCAGAGACGCAGCCAAGTAAAAAAAAAATGAACTTATACATTCATTCTCTCACCGCAAAAGATTGAGCCAAAATAAAAAGTTATTATCCAGGACAAGATGACTTGGAGACTATCTCACCAGATTCTTCCCTTCAACAATGACACGATTTTGGGATCGGATGACACGCTTAATGGTTCCAGTCTCACCCTTATCTTTCCCGCGAATTATCATTACCTAAATAAAAAAGATCACACACCACATTAAACGAAACCAAAATAGAGAACGGATCAGGACAGGAGAAGTATAACAAGAGTGGGCTCACATTATCCCCTCGAAGTATCTTCCAATGTCTGATGAGTTTCTCAGCAGCTTTCCAACCCATGGCTCCTAGTCTCTCAGATCAGAATCCTAATATTGCATCACAACAAACAAACAAAAAGTCTATCAATCACATTCCTTTTACAGAAATCAGCGTGAAATGGAAATCCTGAAGAACCCAAATCAAAGATATTGAAAAAAGCAAGGCCAATTTCGAGGGGTGTTCAATCTCAGAGACTGCGCAAAAAAAAATTTACAACTAAATCCCGACTAATGTAGGTAAATGTTAAACGAGCCGTGCACTACAGTAGTACGGGGACAATTTGGTTAAGCAATGGCAATACTTTATTCCGATCTACTTCGAAATCGATTGAATTATTCGAAAAACGGAGAAAATCGATTCTTAGAAACTAAATCGAAGGGAAGCGGAATCAAGTTTGGTCTAAGAGGAAATTCGAAGGAGCTTGCCTGTGTGGAGTGAGGAAGAGCAACCAACGCCGTTGAAGCTCTATGTGATGCCGATGGTACAGACGTCGTTGACGACGGTGCTGGAGTGTTTCGATTCTGAGTGTATAAACCTAAAACCCTAAAATCCACTCATGAGTGATGTCATGAAATATGAAAATGACCACGCATTTAGATTGTTAAAAATGTTTTTTTTTTCATTAGTATATCTTTCAAAACTAAGAACAAAATTAATTATTTAGGATTAAGTTTAATAATATAATAAAGTCACATGCCAAATTGCATTTAGAGAAAACAATTATGGATTGGTTTAACCACTATGGTTTTTTTGTTTTCTATCAAAGAAACTACTATGGTTTATAATTTCTCATAAGCTCATCCCAAAATTACAATTAAAAAAAAAAATTTCGACAATGTTATCATCGCATTTAAACTTCATTTGAAAGACCGTCTAATTATACGAAATGCGCCCATCAATCTTGAAATGCTTTGGGCACAATGTTGGGACCAAACACACCCTTGTTTGGATGATTCGTCTTCTGTAATTGCCATATTGTTTTCATTTATATGGTTAGCATCTTTCTTTTTTTATCTTTTGAACATTGTAGACTTGAAACATGTCTAGTAAGTAATGCTGGTGCACGAGTCTATGTATTATTCCCCGGTAAATTTGAGCTTATTGAGTTAAAACTTTGGTTAGTTGTGGCATTATGGTATAATTCGTTGTTGTTTTGCTCTACCTTTACAGATTTGACTATTACCCATTGTTGATTTTGACATAAAATTGAATGTGATTGAATTACTTGATTCAGCTTCTGACATAAAATTTGCTTGTCTCCTGCAAGATGTACATTGATTGTATCATGGTTCAATCCCACTGTTCCATGTTGACTGCTCTCTGAGACCCCCATTACGTTGGCCATGTGGAGATGACTTCATCAACACTGTAGAAGAAAATTTAACAGTGATCGCTTTGAACCATTTCCAAAATATTTTGAGATTTTTATTCATTTTTAGTTTACGTGTTTCCTTTAAAAACTCCATCGATGGTATCTTTCACACGTAACTTGATTGGTTTGCTCTTCTAACCATTTCCTTATTTTACCAATAAAAAACCATAAATCAACAGCTGGCATTAAGCAAATATTTATACAACAACTAGTCCAAGCACAGAGGTCGAATCACACTGTACCTCTCTCTCACAAAATTGAAGAAGTTTCACGTGAAAAATGGCGACAGTTTCGCAACCAAACCAGAAGCTAACGATTCCATTCAAAACCAGAATCGCTCTCTCGGTTATCTCCACCTTAACCGATAACGCTCAACGTCCCGACGGCTCAATCAACCGCCGTTTCCTCCGCCTCCTCGATTTCCGTGCTCCTCCCAATCCCAAACCAATCAACTCCGTCTCCTCCTCCGATTTCGTCGTTGATCCTTCCCGCGATCTCTGGTTCCGATTATTCACCCCCCACGTCTCCGGCGACCGAATTCCCGTCGTCGTTTTCTTCCACGGCGGTGGTTTCGCTTTCCTCAGCCCCAATGCCTATCCCTACGACGCCGTATGCCGGAGATTCGCCAGAAAATTACCGGCTTACGTCATCTCCGTCAATTACCGTCTCGCTCCTGAGCACCGTTACCCTGCTCAATACGACGACGGATTCGACGTCCTCAAGTACCTCGAGGAGAATCGCGGCACGGTTCTCCCGGCGAACGCCGATCTGTCGAGGTGCTTCTTCGCCGGAGACAGCGCCGGTGGAAACATCGCGCACAACGTCGCGCTCAGGGTTTGCCGTGCCCGATGTTTCGCCGCCGTGAAACTCGTCGGACTTATCTCGATACAACCTTTCTTCGGAGGAGAAGAGAGGACGGAGGCGGAGAAACGGCTCGTCGGAATGCCTCTGGTTTCGCCGGATCGGACTGATTGGTGCTGGAGGGCGATGTTGCCGGAGGGATCAAACCGGGACCACGAGGCGGCGAGGCCAGACGTTGTGGACATATCGGGTCTGGATTACCCGGAGACGATGGTGGTGGTGGCCGGGTTCGATCCGTTGAGGGATTGGCAGAGAAGTTACTGCGAGTGGATAAAGTTATCCGGGAAGAGAGCAACACTAGTCGAGTATCCAAACATGTTCCATGCCTTCTATATCTTCCCTGAGTTGCCGGAGTCGGGAGAGTTAATCCAGCGGATTAAGGATTTTGTTGCGGAGCGCGTGGCTTCACTCTCCGCTTAATGAAATTATTATCATTATTATTAAGTGGGATAACTCGATTAATAATGTATCTCTGCTTTTTATCTACTAGTGTTTAAAAAATGTTAGCCCATTTCAATCTCGATGTATGTTAAGTCCGTTTTCATTATCACTTAGTGTTCAACTTTAAGATTTAATGATTGTTTTACTCTTCAAACTTGTTTTATAGCTCGAAACGTAGAATAAATTGTGGTCGAAGACAAAAACGACGTATATATACATACTTATCAGACGTAACTTATAAATTGTAAACTCGACTTAAAATGTGAGACACAAATGTTTCTTTCGTTCTATTTATGTTGGTTGTTATTACATGAGTCAAATACAACCAAGAAAATTAAATACTTGTACGGTGCACAGATCCAAGAATTCCGGCAGGTAAGAAAGTTAAGTTGTTGGGTAGTTCAGGGAAAAGTGAACCACACATTAATGCATTTCTAGTACAGATTCAATGCCTATACGACTCCTCTTTTATCCAACTAACTTCCTTTTAATGTTTATGTAAAACAATCTTGTTTAGTACATTTGTAAAGATATGAAAATTCAGTCCTAGTTAGCCAATTGTTTTTGTTGCTGTTGCAGAACCGAGAGTTTGTATATGAGGTCTAGATTCGTGTTTGATACAATCGAAAATCTAGTTCATGTTTTCTTTGTTAATTATATTTGTTTGGACAGTATTGAAATGGTTTCTTAGCGCAAAAGAAATGGTTAACGGACTCATTGGACCACCGTTCGTCTATTGTCGGCTGTGTGGATTAAGAAATGGAGTGGGTTTGAGACGACTTTTGTTGTTTGCCCATAACTTTCCACTTAAATTTAGGTGAACTGTCGTTGTCTCTTAGAGATTCTGACAATTACTACCAAAAGTAGGAATGAATAAAATACAAATACAAACGCTAACCATAGTCACGTGTTTTGCATTACAACTCATTAATCCCTTTATGTTGTATAACAACGTTGTTGGAATTAGGCATGGGCATTCCGAAGCTTGGCGGTTCGGAATTTTGGAAGTTCGGTTCATTCTTGCAAAAATTCTCACCAAAATCCACCCAAACTCAACAGAAAAGTCTCACCGAAACTAAAATTTGGTTTGATTCGGTTCAAAAATCTACGGTTCAGTTTAAGGTTACATAGATAAATGCCGAACAGTGTACCTTTTTTTTTTGTTACCTCAATAAGGTTGGCTTTTTTTTCGGCAATGAGGCTGACCTAAAAAGTGGGTTTCTGATAACAAAAAAAAAAAATTGAATTGGAAAGAAAACCCAAAAAAAAATTGATCGAGAACCCAAAATTGAAAGAGAACCTTTTTTCTTTTAACATCACCCAAAAAAGGAATTGAAAGAGAACCCAAAAAAGATAAAAAAAGGTTGAATGATGATGATGATGAATCCATATGGTTCGTTGACCAGTCAGACAAATTCGGGCAATTATTAAGAGGGTAAAAAATAAATATGAAAATCTCGACAAGGTCAATTTCGCAATTAAATGCAAATTTGCAGCGCCTCTCTCTCTCTCTCTCTCTCTCTCTCTCTCTCTCTCTCTCTCTCTCTCAGCCGGGCAAATTTCTATTGCTTCCTTAACCGTCACCGGCGGTGGTTACCCTCCGATCACATTCAAACCACGACTGCTCGATACCAGTGCCCGTACGTTAGTTCCTCTCCGGCCACTTTAGCTTCTAGAGGTCAATTTCTTTTGCCGTCAAAATTCGTCAAAATTCCTTCCTTTTTTTTTAATGATTTTAGATTTATTTAGTTGTCCTAAAAGGATTTGACTTGTGGCACCCAGAAAATCTTTTAACGGAATATTGCTTTTGTCTTGGCATCTTGCTTATGTTGAATTGTAGGAATGAGTGGGTTTGTTTTTGAATGTAGATTCAAACTCCATTTTAAAACTGAGTTTTTTTTTTGTGTATGTACATTAGACTTGAAACTTTGAAGTATCACTGTGATGGGGAAATGAGTGATAAATCAAATGCTGTGAGAGCTATTGCGATACAAAGATGTCATGGATGAAAGGTAAATCATCTGGTTGGACTGCGTTTGATCTCAAGCAGAGACAGAAACAAGGTCTCGAAATCGAGCTCGATGATGATCCATTCCCTCCTGTGTCAAGCAGTGTTCATACTCCCTTGGATGCAAGAGGAAAGCTGAGAAGAAATCATGAGCCTTCTGAAAAGTCTTTCTCGTCCGTGCTCTTACCTCCGTCGAATAAGGACTGTGGAAAACAAGAAAGCAGTAGAGCTTGCCGGAGCAAACCGAAGACTTTGATTCCGTCGGTAAACAGTCATGACTCAGCCTTCATGAAGCTGAAGGAAATGAACAGTTGGGCAGATGATAACTTGATCAGGGATATATTGTTATCCACAGAAGATAATTTTGAGATGGCCTTAGAATTTTTGAGAGGAATGGTTTCTGCTGGAAATTCAGAAGGCAAAGCTGATGATTCAGCTTCAAAGATCGATGGCTATTCATCTCATAATAGAATATCTGGGAGAACTGTTACAAGTTCGGTGAAGATGTCTGCAAGGTCCACATGTGAGAACGCTGGCAAGTATGAGAGTGGTGGAAGTTCGTTTCTGGTGAATGCATCTGACACTGAAAAGTTCTCTGATGATATTTCTGAACTAGATAGCATCATTCAGCGGCTTCAGTCCATTCCTATAGAACCTGAATGGGAAGAAGATGATCTCTACTTGAATCATCGGAAGGATGCACTGAAAATGATGAGGTAACACAAAGGCCTCTATCCTTTTTATGCTTATATTTTCAGCTACAGCTAGTCAGTTTCTCACTTGAAAGCTGGCTTAATCTTAATGATGAATATGTATTGAGAAACTCTCCTTTTCTTTTAAACAGATCAGCCTCAAACCATTCAAGAGCTGCCCAAAATGCTTTTCTGAGATATGATCACGCTTCTGCTAAGCAGCATTCAGAGAAAGCTAGAGAGGATTGGTTAACAGCTGAGAAGCTGAATGCTGAGGCAGCCAAGAAGATATTAGGTATCACAAATAGGAATAACGACATATGGAAATTGGACCTGCATGGTCTCCACGCAGCAGAAGCTGTTCAAGTGTTACAAGAACGTTTGCAAAAGATCGAAGGTCAGTTCACAGTGAACCGTTCAGTATCACCAAATAGAGGTAGGTCGAAAAATGCAGCTCTGCGATCTGCATCACAAGAGCCTTGTGGTAGATTAGATGTGGAAGGCCTGGACCGTCAAAGAACTTCTTCTAGAGAACTACGAAACTCATTGCAGGTTGTAACGGGTATGTCGATTTTCTTTCTATGAAGTATCTAGTGAAACTGATATTTCCTTTTTTAAGTATAGTATAGAAGGTTCATGCATAAATCGGTGACAGCGAAGTTTCTATGTTCCTTTTTGTAGGTATTGGTAAACACAGTCGCGGACATGCTTCACTTCCTCTAGCTGTTAAGACATTCTTTGAAGATAACATGTGAAAAAATATAACTCTTTTTTAACTTCTTCAGATATTTATTAATCATTAGTATGAATAAAGCTGAAGAATTGAATATTGCTTTACAGGTACAGATTTGATGAGACAAGACCAGGAGTAATCACAGTGCGGCCTAAATTCCGACACAGCTGATTGATTTCAAAATTACCAATACCTGTGTTACTTCATTCATTGTTGTTGTATCATATCTCCTTAAAGCTTACTGTTATTCTTTTCTTTGTAACATAGTCCCCGTGGCTAATTGTTTAGTGTAACAAACAGGTCAACAATGTGAATTGGAGTGTGATCAAATGTAACTCGAGCAATTTCTTTATATAAACAAAGATTGATTTTTCCTCATAAAGATTTGTTTCACAGGGCCCTTAACTACAGAAAATGGGGGCAATCTTTTGCAAGCCAGAGGCAAAAAAATATTATATACGAAAGTCTCATTTGCTAAACAGAAATACTCTCTTCTTCCCCTTCTTTCTCTGCAGCGCCTGCGATGAATTAGCAAACCAAGATAATTAACCATTGCTTCTCCAAAAAATGAAGCTTGAAGTCTTCGTAAATTGTCTATGATTTTATGATTATGACAGCTACTTTTTTTTTTTTCTAGAGATTGTAACGAAAGAGACAATGAATTTACTGCTTTAAAAAGTATTACCCTCATGATAAATAATCTCAGGGTGAGTACTATTTCATCTCTTGAGCTGCCAAAGACATCAGAAGAATAACAGTTTACATTTGGGTAACAAACAGAGATATAATGACAATAGGAACACACAAAATACCATATCATTTATTGGATCACAGTATGATTCTAACCCCTCCACTTGTGTGTCTAATCATACTATATTTCAATGATTTAGGATATCTGATAGGATCATAGGACTAAGCATATGCTAGTTGATCCTTATCAAGTTTCCTACAAGCTCACAAGACCAAGCTGAGATGCATATGTTAATTTATACAATTCGGCCTTTAAACTCACTAACTACTTAGAACCTAATTAACTTTCGTCGAACTCAAAGCATTCTTATGGTGTACATTCCTCTTTATAAAAAAGTTTTGTTCTACTTACCAGCTATAGTCTGCTGATCCGCTATCTTCTCGTAAGGAACGCTCACTGCCATCAGAACCAATTATAACGAATTCTGCAGGTTGCCCAAACGGAATTGTTACCTAGAGAGATATCAGAAGAAGGATTTAATATTAGAGTAATGCTTGTTGCGTTTCCCTATTCATTTAAAACCAATCAAAGAAAAGGTCATTAACATAGTTACACTGAACATTTACTAACAACAGTCTGAACAATAAACTGGAAGAAAAAAAAACAAAATATGGTTTCACAATGTGCCCTTGTAGAAAAGAAATTTAGGTCAGTAAATTACAATATGCTAAGTCAACATGCATTTAATAAGCAAGCTGTGTAGGAAGTAACAAAATACTGACAGATATTTGATTCTCTAAAATTCAACTTATAATATGGGACACGCCGTATTGCTTTCAGAAGCACTCTTAATGCTTAGCAATGAAAAAAAATTGCATGCATCATAATTTCACAACCTGCCTAATAACTCTTTCAACATGCACAATCCTCTCTACCCACACTGCCATATGTTTCAGAGACAGGGACGATTTATTGTATTAGAAAACAGGACAGAAACAAATACGGCATAAGTCTTACAACAGTAGAAGCTGAGAACTTTTCTGCAACCATGATATCGTTATTACACTTGATGCTGTAACCTTCTCTCTTAATGGACAACGTAGCTTCTTCCCATATATCCAGGAAACCAGTCTGTTCAAAGCCAAATGCATGTGAAGGACTAGTTCAAGAAAAGCCGGAGAATACATAGCCAAAAAATAGGAGTTGAAAATGGAAATTAACATACCGCTACAGAAACTTTGTATGAAGCATGACCACTATGAAGAGTCTTCTCTATATGGCTCTGCATCTCTGGATCTGTGAATATAAAAGAGGGTTACTGCTACCTATACATATGACCATAAACAAGTTCTCTAAAAATGCTTCAGAGTTAACGGAACCACTATGTGTTAAATAGATAAACTTACGGCAAGCGATCTTCCGATTCTCATTGGCAAAGACCTTCACAAGCTCCCCCTGAAATAACAAAGTAAAGCAAATGACTACTGCAGACCACATGAAAACTCAAATAAGTCAGCACGAAATAACACTGAAAGCACATCTATCGCAGCTCTCATACTGTTAACTGTATTCAAAGAAACGGCTAATCTTTTCCCCACAAGCTTTTAGCCTAAAGTCTATTCCACAAAACAAAATGCAGAGGAAAGTATGGAAACTACAGTCCAGATCAAGATTCCAGATATGCCACAGTCCAAGTCCTCACTTTTCACAAAAAGAGTAACGCAAAAGTTATAATCTCATTCACAGACAAAGATATTAACCTTGCGGTTCCTGTCGTCCAAGGGCTGAACTTCAATAGCAAGATATAAATCAACATCATCAGCAGTGACAAGATAATTTGGCTGCTTTGCTCCTGCATTAAAAGTTTGTTGGCGACTAACTAATTATTCCCATACCAAATTAAAAGAAACAAAAAGGAAAGGGAAGCGCTTCGAGAATAGAGATATGGTCAGAAGGAGAGAAAGTACCATCAATATAATTCACAGATCCATCTTCTAGATGACATACCCACTGCAAATTGATGAAGAGAAGAAGATAGATTTAGATGCAACTCATCATAAAGGAAATTCATTTATTTAGTACGGACCTCAAAATTACAACTTGTTGTTCCATTTATGGAGTAACCACAAGCCTGAAGCTCATGTCCAGGATAAGGTTCTCCTGAAATTTGAAGGTCCTCTATAGCTGGTAAAGGGTCATCTTCTCCAGCTGTTGACAGTGGTTCAAAATATTGAGACAAGTGAACGACCGTAATGGAATTAACAATATGCCATTATGATTAATCATTACCCTCAGAAAAGGAGGAAGAAGGTTCTTCAAGAACAGGGGACAAGAAAGGGGAATTAGAGGAGCTGGGATCATCAAACGCAGGCACATATGGTGGATTTTTGATATCTGACTGTCCTTCTGCATCGTCCATCACAGTCTTGCTGAGAGGCTCACGAAATTTAACGTGCTTAGGTGGAGTTTCATCTGCTTGCTTCCAACCACGAGTTTTGTCTTCACTAGTACCTGGTTGCAGAGGCATCTCAAATGCTGCCGACTGACTGGTACACATGAAACACATTTAATCATCTTCAACATCATCCACCACTAACTAGAGCATACAACCAGGAGAGCACTAAGAAAACGTCATGAAGCTATAAATTGATCATAATCATAACCATACTCAAAAAAAGTAAAAACAACAAAATAGAAAAGATGAAGTTAAATAATCAATAAAACGGCACCTCGTGACAGATCAAAACATAAATGACACAGAGAGAAAAACAACACCTTGTTTGACCTATGACTAATCTGATTCTTTTGAGAATCGAGATTATCATATCGCCCAGAGAGCAGAAAGTTCGAAAAGAAAAATCCCTAGAATACTCAACGTCCAGGGAGAGGGATATCAAGAAGTAGCTTAGAACGCGGAATTTTTAGGGTCAACAAGAAAGACTCAAGCGTCAACAGTCAATGCCAAATTAAATCAAATAACGTGTCAGCGTGTTTAATGAGTCAAGAGCCAGCAAATTAGACTCAAGACTCAAGAGTATTGGCTAAACTGAATCAAATAACTTGTAAGACAATTTTAAGAGTCAAGATTCATTAAAAAACAAAGAGGCAAGATGTCACGGACTTGTTCCTTCCTAATGATACATGTGGCCATAACTCCTTTTCGCCCCTCGCGGGTAGCTAAGTCAGCCCCTCCAGATTAGACCCGACCCTAAGAAAGAGAAAGAAGCTAAATGTTTTGCTTGTAGTTCATTGGATGATTTACAGTGAAAGATCCCAACCCTGTTATATCAACTAGGCGATATAGATATTCAATACTCTACCAACTACATGTATAGACTTCATGATATTGAGTAGGTGTTCGTAGTCTGCATACAGTTTCCATTAGCAATCTTTGCAGTGAAAAACTCACCCGTTCACCAGGGGTGAAACCCTTCTGGGACCATCAAGATGGCCATTCCCCATAGTTGAGCTACCTGGCTCATCTTGATGCCAGCGCTTCGAATCCCAGTCTATGGCTGTTTGATCATGGGAATATAGAGAATCCTTTGTCTGGTGGAAACACAAGAAGTTATCTAAGATTCAATTCACTAAAACTTATGATAGAACACTGAGGAATACGAACGTACTGAGTGGGTTAACGCTTCACCAGCTGCGCGCGATGGGGCCAAAGGGGAATCATTTGAGTGGTTCCCATCTGCCTGCCAAGGTGCTAAGTGATACTCTGACTCCTTTAACTTTGTCTAGTACATAAAACAAGACAGAAAGAATCATCTATCAAAGGAACTACAGCTTCCACGCTAGGAATAAACTGCAATTGCAAATGAAGCAGCACGGAGATTTCAATTCCGATATGCCCAGCCCGCATAACATACCTCAGTAAGAAGGAGCTTTTCTTGTAGATGCTTAAATAGAACCTGAACATACATAGCTGTAAATGTCATTCACTACTTTTAACAGGAAACGAAATGCGAGAAAAACTTCACTATCAAATATATTGAAGCAGGGAATATTATCAGTCGATTAACTTCCTACCCAAACTTTTTGTGTTCTTTGGCTCTCAAAGACTCCATATAATTTTACGAGACAGCAAGTGCTTATGCTTATTTATCCGTGAAGCTCAAAACTATGTCAACCGCTCCGTTAATCATTGATAGGATACCCCATAAATGCACTCAAATAGATTTCGAGCAATAACCATTTGCATGTAGAACTGAAATGATGCATTTTTTTCTAAACAAGCCGCTGAGAGGCAAACCAAAGGCCATCAATAGTCACTCATGAGACCGTTTTACAAGAATTTTCCTGCATTTTATGTATGTTCTACGAATTTCAAGGGATGTGAAATGTGAAGCATTTCCAGTGAAGGATGTAGTATCACTCCTTTGAAGTCCAAGTATAATGCAGCGAAACTCCTCAAACTAATAGGTTACAGTATACAGTTTCAAAGTCAAAGATAGAAGCTAAAGATGGTCCAACCTTAAAACTGAATAACAAAACAAAATAATGTTAAGATTCCGACACAAGTTATAGAAAAAACAATATAAGATATTGGAACTGACCTTCACATTGCTAACGATAGACTGTGCATCAGACACCTGAGGTTGTAGAGAGTACTCCGATAGAAGAGGCAACAAGTATGATACAAATGTAGATCTCTCTTGTTGTGTAGCCTGAAAAGGGCAGAAAGGCTCGCTTCAATGTAAAATTAACCGGACTTAGCACAGTTAATATATACCAGTTGCACTATGTAGAGGTCCAAAAAATTGACATCTGGTAAATTGAGAGTAATTCATGGTATCCACCCAAAATGGGTTACCAAAGATAGTAGAAATGAGGATTATATGGGAACGCCAGAAGACAGACAGTTTGCACAAAGATACAAGACGATGGTACCTGTAAGGCATATGTTAAGCGTATATTTTCCTCAATTATCTCCTGTCTGTAAGAGAGAGCTTTTGATGCAGCGTCAACAAGATCTTCTTGCTGTTGATCAAATGCCTGGTTACAACAGAAAAAATATTTTGAGCGCCCAAACAACTTCCGAGTTGAAAAGATTCACTACGAGATAGATTAAACAGGTAAGTCCATAAAAAGAAGGAAAGGCCAACCAGGCGCATGTAGGCAATTCGCTTTTCCAGAACATATTTTTCATTGCGAATTTGAGCTTCCTAAGAAAAACCTAAAATGTTAGTCAGATGATGTAGCATAAAATCAACAAAGAATGCAAAGGATGAACCAAAGGCAGGCATAAAAGGCTATAGATTTTGTTATTTACTCTTATGGTTGCTTGGCTGTCTTTGTGGTTGAGTCGGTTGTTTAGGGTTTTGCTCTTGGTTTTGGATGAATAGGAGTTTGCCATTTCTCCAATGAAACAGAGTAAGATATCCGCAGGTCTCTCTAAGTAGCAAACCCTATCGTTTTCTGCTTATTGCAAACTCCTATTCATCCAAACCATATGTGATTTTCATTTACTGTTCTGTTTACTTATAGAGGGCAAAAACGAGGAACCATAGGCATCAAAAGAAACCCCACTCAACCACAAATAAATGCCATGGAACCATAAAATTAAGTAACAATAAAGGCTCAATAGTGACATAAGATCTCCCGTGTGTAGCAGGACTCACCTTAACAGAACAGTCAGTAAGATATCTCCTCAACTGAAAAATTTCTTGTTCTTGTTCCTGGACCTTTTGAATGAGGTCCTGAATAGATAGTTAGATACATAGTCAGGCAAATAATTTTTCATTTAATCCACGGAAACCAAGACGTAGTAAGTGTGATAGAGACCTGCTTCCATGCATTGCCCGAATTATTTACTTCAGAAACTGGCATAAATCGATGAGCAGATGGATTGATATGTGCGAAATGCTCTCCTTCCAACTGCGTTCTATCAGGAATCGGATCTTGAGAATTACACTTTGTGTTCATGGAAATTCGGCTAACCATAAGATTTACAAGTAAATTCAGCATATGCCAGAGTGGTAGTTTGAGTTTCAGTACCTCATAGGAGATGACGATATTGTAGATGAAAAATGAAATTGAGAGGGACCAGCACCACCTATAGCTCCTCTTTCAATGCCATTCACCATATTTCCCTCAGAGGGGCTTTCAAAACGATTGCTCACAGTAGCTTCTTTGCCATTAGCGTTCACATGAGGGTGAACAACCAGCATGCCTGATGAATCAGTATCTGAAGCTTTGATCACACTCTGCTTCCAATCAACTGGCTGGTGTACCAGGCGAGACACCGTGGTAGTATTTGTGTGATCTCCAAGATTAGATGTTTGGGGCAAGGATTCATCTGATCTCTAGGCAAGATGGAGAAGAAAAGCAAGAATATCATGTAAATTACAATTATACCAAATATGATCAAAGAGGTACTAAACGCATACCATGGAAGTAATGCATCACCATAACCAAAGGAAAAGATCCTCAAGAGTTTTGGAAAGAAAAAAAAAAAAACTTGCCCTTTAACCAGAAAAAATGCATACGGCAAAACACTTACATATTTAGCAAGTTCCAAAGTACTTCTCTGAAGCTCAGCCTTTAAACGGCTATTCTCCTCAACCTGCTCAAAGAAGAAAACACTGAGATGAGAAACGAAAACTATCCGCGCAGGTAAATCATGTGCTAGTTGCAAAGGAATCCCCAGTAAATGAATCAATCAGACCTGCTGCTTGATGGTGGTTTCAGCTGCTTCAACAGCTTTGATGACCTGCAACAAGCCGTCGTTCTTAAAATCGTAGTCGAGTCCCACCCCGGAAAATTTCTCGGCCAGTCTCTCCTCATGGCCGTTCTCCATCCTCAGACTAAATCCCAATCGAATAAAGGTCTCGAATTTCTGCTCTTCTCTGCTTCTTAATGCTCATGATCTCATCTGGGCTTTTAATGTAAACTAATCTCACACGAATGAAACAGGAAAAACCCAAACTTTTCCGCAGTAACGGGGAAATTTCCAAAGGAAACTGGGCGTGTAGATTTTAGAAGAAAGTGTATTGTTTGCGAGCAAATGATAAGGACGAATTTCGCAATCACACGATAACGAAAAGCCCAAGAAAAAAAAATGGATTGGAAAAGAGAAGAAAATGTCCTCCCTGTCGTCGTCTTCTTCAATCTCTCTCTCTCTCTCTCTCTGTCTCTATCAGTTTTTAATTCCGGAATCGGTGAGTTGTGCTGACCTGAGTAATATGTCTAACTCTCTTTTTTTAATTTAAATGATTTTACTAATCGTTATTGTTTGCAAAAGAATTTAGATTTTCAAATAATTGTAGGGAATCTCCAGGTTGACAAATAAGCTTCACTAGATTTTAAGAGAGGAGGCTTTTTATAACAACAAAATTAAGAATCTTTTTGCATCATTTGCACAACCATCTTTCATCTGATGGAGACAAATCTCTGTTAGTCTGAGTCGTCCTGATTCTCTACACAATGCTCCATGCTTGGCTACCAGATGAGGGACTTTGATTAAATATGTTTATCTTCCGACAAGATGAAACAGTTCACTGGCCCACGTGTCAACATTTGATTGCGTAAGTAACCCAATCAAAATGTATATATATATATATATATGGGGAAGAGAGAAAACAGCCGCCAGAGACGGAGGGAAAAAAACATAGGGTTGAGCAGCGGTGATGATGACGGAGCAACAAGAGAAAGAGAAGAAGAGAGGAAAAAGAAGACATCTCTCACCATCGTACTTTCATGAGGATCTGATCTCGGAGGTCCTGTTAAGGCTGGCTGCGAAATCTGTTGCCAAGTCTAGATGCGTGTCGAAGCTCTGGTCCTCAATCACCACACTTCCATGTTTCATTAGGTCGTTCGAGGCTCGATCCTCGAAAAGTCCCTGTCTTCTGCTCTTGTTAGAGGAAGGCAGTAAGCTCTTTGTTTTCTCCCTAGCACAAGACCAGAATTCAAACAACAACAACAACAACAAGAAGCTTGTTGTGGTGAACAGTTATGCGATTGCAAGTCCCCAAGGATGTTCCTTTTTAAGCGCCCAGTCGGTTAACGGCTTGATCTGCGGTCAAGGGGACGGGGATCCGCAGATTTGGAACCCAACCACGAGGCGCTTCTCAACTTTACCAAACCCGGAAAGCAGCTGGAGTAGCGGCTCGGTGAGCTTTTTAGGATACGACCCGATCGATGGTACATACAAAGTGCTGGCATTGCCTTGTGAACCTGGTCATTCTGATTATTAGCCTCGGGCTCTTACACTAGGAGGAGGAGGAGGAGGAGGAGGAGGAGGAGGAGAATGGAGAGTTATTCAGGGTCTCACCGACCATGCCCCTTTCCGCCCTGGAGTATGCATTAATGGGGGTTCTGTATTATATTGCCTCTCCTACTCTTAGGTATAGCAACAGTTTTTTGGCGAGGTTCCATGTCAGATCTGAAAAGTTCACTAAGATAGATGATGTACCATGGATAATGATCTCATGGCTTGCGAGGGGAAGCTAGTCTCTGTTTGTCCAAGATTGGATGAGTTTACAATGTGGACTCTGGAGGATTCAGAGAAACCCAAGTGGTCGTGTAGACATGTTACTTTGCCTTTTCCTCGCTTTGATCCGGTTTTGCGGCGAAACGGGTTAAGCCTAGTGGGTATCAATGATGCTGGTGAGTTTATTTATGTTCCACTGTTTGCGGGAATCCGGTACACATTCTCTATTTTGATCCAAAGGGAAACAGCTTCAGAAAAGTCGTGGTTGAAGGAGTTGCTGATGACCATTTTAGGCGCCTTTATGGATTCGGAGACGAACCTCTCGACATCATACGCGCTTATCCGAATCACATTGAGAGTCTAATGTCTCCGTACTAAGTCCTCAACTTATTTTTTTTTGTTGTGGACATTTTGAGAAGAGGATATGTTAGTCTCCATTCCTAACTCAATCTTATAAGTAGAATCGTTGTTGTGATCCTACTTGAGTCTTTTCAGGCTCAACAGGAAAAGACTCGATACTCGATTGCCAAATTAATTCAAATAACTTACTTTTATTAGAGTCAAGAAGAGAAGAGGCGAGATGTCATGGACTTGTTCCTTCCTTCCTTATATCAAGGCGATAGATATATTCCAATATGCTCTACCAACTCCATGTACAAACTTCATGATATTCAGACTCCTTTTAACTTTGCCTAGTACATAAATACAAATCAGAAAGAATATCATCTATCAGAGGTCAGTAGGAAATACAGCATATTCCAATGTTAGGTGCAACTGAGAGCGAGGAGAATCGTCTGAGCTGTTCAATTAGGTTCTGACACGAGTTAGAAGTTTGGTCAGTGACACTGCAGATTTTCTGCTCTCTCCTCTCATCCATACTTTGAAATCTAGAAATTCAACAAAGTATTCATCGTCGCTCCACCTTTTGAGATCATTCAGAGAGACTGGTCCTTGTGTTTCTCCTTTAGGGTATTCGTAGAACCACACCACCTTCTTTGGATCATAATGCTGGTTATCTAGATTTTTGTTGTCCCCATCATCATCATCATCGCTCAGTTCGATGATCTCTAAAGGAATTGGTTGAGCTTGAGCTTCATTATCAAGACCAATCATCTCTACTTCACTGATGAAGTCCTTGTTCTGTGCGATGATGCCATTTGCTGGTTGCTCCTCCACATATTCGTTGAGATCTTCGTCACCTGCAATACACACAAACGAAATTACGGGTCATGATCTATTCCAGGTCCAACCAGTACACGTTTGGACAAAGGCAAGGAAGAACATGATCAAAAGAATTGAAGTTACAAAAGATGGGGACGCACCTGGAGAAGCGGTCCATGGTGGCTGTTCTTCTCCATTACAGAGCTTGAAATTTTCTGGAGTTTTCTGGAGACTAGAAACTGGTGAATCACTTAGTTGTTGTTCTTCATCACTTTGACGAGCCTCAATGGAGGCCTCGGGGTTTGGTTCCATGAAGTCATTTTCTATCTTTCCATCATCATCTACACATTCAGGTTCAAGCTCCTCTGCAACAACTTCTGGAACTTCACTCAATAGCCTCAATTGTTCTTTCTGATTCATAAGAAGGTCCTTTTTTTCCAGATACTGGGATAGTGTAGCAGCTAAGAGGTCAAGAAAAGTAATAATAGAAAGATTCTCACAATACAAGTAAATACATATTTTAGAATATTAATAATGCTTTACAAAAGGATATTCTCTTCGCCATCCCTTTTCACTGGCCTGATTGATAAGCTTTTGTAACAATACAAGTTCCCTTGCAATCCACTAAAAGACACCAACCAAATGTTGAGAGTTAGTTATGGAAACAGAAATCACACTTTCTGAATAAAAAAGTTTGCAGCTTCATACACAATCAGACAGAACAACCAGGATTTGATTGATCAGCTTAAGAATACTATGCTGCACAAGCTATCATGATAGTCAATCTCAGTTGTGAGATAAATAGGAGAGGCGGTAATGAATGCAGGCAAATATTTGATATCATGTCAAATAGAGAGCAAGTTAGCAACATACATGTTTTGTCAGATCTTCATGCAAACTTCGAACCTTTTCTTCCATATCTACCTGTCCAAGTGGATTTTGATTAGAGAACTAAAATAAATCAGATGAATCTATAATAAGCAGCAAAATAAGCACGGTGAGCAAGTTTCACGAGTAAATGTTGATTGATACAAAAAAAGAAAGAAAAAAAAACTTACAACTGTAAGTCTCTTTGCAAAGCCATTCTTCATTCTCTGATGCAATTCTTCACATTCCTCCTGCCAAAAGTTAATAAAGAGCAATGAGAAAATGATAAACAGGACGCACTATATGTCAAGTAAAACCTATACTTGCTAGAATGAAGATGTGCCAAGCCGTTAGTTAAAACAAGATAATGGCATAAGATAGTACATCTTCAGATAACTATTAAAAATTAAACGTCGGTCCATTGCCAGTTCGCAAAAACTCTGGACTAAAACTAGTTCTCTGATTGTCATCAATAAGAAGCACAAAATTGGAACAAGCATAGTTCTGAGAATATTACCTGAGAGAAATCATCATCTGATAGGGCAGAGGAAAGAACATCTTTTAGAGAATACGTATAGTTAGTAACCTCAAGTAGATAACCATGACTCGGATTTCCCTCCTTCACACCTAGAAAACAGAAAGACAAAACACAAAAGAGATCTTATGTAAAATTAGTCACAAACGAATCAGACTCAGTCCCAAAGAATATAAGAAGTTACAGATACTTTAGTCCTTGGAATGAAACACTGCATGGTTTGACTTGTCCAGGTAGCAGGATTCAGCTGGAAATTACCTGTCACTTGAACAAGCTGACAGGGATTCTTGATCCTCACAAAAGTTCCCATCACTCTACTCTCAAAGGTTTCAGGAGACTTTGCTAGTTCCTGGACAAAACTCTTCCTTAGATACAGGAGCTTGACGTTATCGCTGACTATTTTTGCAAAAGTCCCTTTAGGCTTTTGCAAAACCTGTTTCGTCTGTCTACCCGTCTTATCTGACCGAGAGAACATCTGTTGCTCATCATCCTCTGGACTGTAGTAGTAGGAGTCGACGTCTTCCTGATTCTCAGCGTAATGCTTGGCTACCAAATCAGGGATTTTGATTATGTTGATCTTCTGACTCTCGAAAAGCAAACGCAACCTGTAATCGCAAGCTACTGTCTTTGTCTTCCTCTTCTTATTCTGAGACGGAGAATGTGCTGCAAGGTTTTGCTCCCGAATATATTTCCTTACAGTCTCTGTAACATCGTATTCGGATATTTTGTTGGTGGTATCTCTACCAAGTGATTGGAGAAACTCAATGAGATTTTTCGAACCCCATCCTAAAAATTCCAGACTTTTGGATTTTCTCAACCTCTTAACACACGGACCTCTCACCTTCCCTTTGTAATCCTCCATTGAAGTTATACCCTGTGAAGTTGAACCAAACAAAAAGAAAAAAAAAAAAGGTAAGAGCTTTGTGACTGATGATGAAAAAGGTCAGAACTTTCAATCCCCATTTCCAGAAATCAACCTAGAAACATACTACTTACGAAGAAAATTCGATTAAACAAGACTAATAGTTTCGAAAAAAGTTAAGAGAGGAAGTTAGAACACACTTTACAGTGATGGAATGCAACCTTGACGGGTATATGAAACGGCACGAACGAAACCCACGGAATGTAGCAGTAAGAATCGTCGATCGGCGACGTCCCTCGAGAGAGATTAGCCGGAAAGCTCAATCTCCGGCAGAAGATATGATTCGGAGGAATCGAAAGTGGCGGGAGAGAGAGTGAGCGCAAACTCGCGAAGGATTGCCGAGAGACGCAAGACACTGCTGACTAGCAAAGATGGCACGGTTTCTCGGTCATTTCGTTTTTAATTTTTTTCGAATTATATTGTTTTTTACGTCATTTATTGTTCTTTAAAAAATCCGATTTGTTGGAGTGTTCTTGGGCTTGGTGGACCTTATTCATTGCAAGCGAACGAAGCAATGAAATTCGAATTATCACACGCCCAAAAACCTAAAACTCGTAGGCTTTTTTAAATTTTTTTAATCACTTAGCAGAAACACCTAGTAATATCAGTTTGCTTAATTAACTTATAGGCTTTGATTGGTAACTTTGCGGAATGGCGAAATTGCGGAAAAAATTTTGCGGAATAGATTAAGCGACTTATAAGTCGCTTTCTGCGAAATGACTTTTCATTTGTATTTTTGTTAAACAAAAACGCAGTTTGCATTTCTGTGTGTATTTTTTTATTACGCGGATTTTTGTTGATTGACAAAAAACCTGACGCAATTCCGCCATTCCGCAAATTACCAATCAGAGCCATAATCTTTTCCAAGCATGCTTCAGTATAAAAGTTCTATATAACCTCGTCCCTTTTTCCTGTACAACAACACAAGACACACATGTTTTCGTTTTTTTTTACATTTGATTGTAATTTATAAAATCTAGTATTTACATATCAAAATATCTTAAAACACACATAATAAGAAGAGATCGATTTTGCTATAGCTGATAGGATTTTTAATGTTACTCTAAAGATTTTCGGCTGAAACACATCTATATTTACTAATTAGGGGAGTTTTCAAGATTTTTTGAAAGTAATTTAAAACTTAGCCAATAAAAATACCCGTTAATTGTTTTCTAAATGGTGGGATTTGTTTGTTAGCCTAAACCCACATGAAAAATGTCTGATATTTTCTAACTTAGTATGAAACTTTTGTATTATTCCTCTACAAACAAAATGCTACATGATAAAAAGAAAACAAAACATGTTATTGGGAGCTCCAAATCTCTTATGGGATCAGATCAACCGTCAAAAACTTTAAGCTATTGGACTCAATTGCATTTTTATCGATGATAAAAAGAATATGAGAAGATTACAAGCGAACATAATTAAAATTCTTAGTTTTATCTCTGAAGATTTTGCTCATGTACAAATTTTGTTCAATGATTCTGTATTATACTGATTTCATTGGATTGTTGTTGTGTTGCTGAACATTTTTGTTTTTGTTTTACAGGTTTGCCTCATGGGCACTCTCTGCAAAAACCTAGATATCCAATGCAGCCTAAATCAGAGTCTAATACTATCCTAAATCAACGCACAAATCAGCAATGATAATGATTTCAAAAAATCTTACAAATCCTTGGACAGCTCCACGAGCTCGCATCGCAAGCAGAGATTGCGATGGTCGAGCTCTTCCCTGACCTTGGAGGAGCCTTAACGATGAAGCTCCCTCCCTTTTGCGGAATCTTCTTCAAGCCTTAGCTCTGAGCTTGGGTAGGCTCAGTGAATCCAAAAGCATGTAGACGTGAGGCCATCTCTGAAGTAACGCTAAGAACTTTGAAAGTAGTCGCTATTTTCTGCATAGAAAATATTTTTTTCGTGTGAATAGTTCTTTTCGCGAAAACATTAGAAATTCAGTTAAATGTTAATTGCGATTCCTGGTTGATTTTCGGTTAAATAACTCAGATAATAGTAATTACCGGTTTTGAGCTGGTAATTTTTTTTTAGATATCCCACTAAAAAGAAATAGAAGATACTTACAGCATTAGTAGCCATCTTCTTACATCATTCCTTTCCCAATATCTACGAACTACCTGCAAATTTGGTGAAACGTTTTAAGAAAATATAAACTAGATGTCTTACGAATCCCTAAATCAGAAGTCCTTGGCATCTCAACTAACATTGGGAAGGTATATTGTAATATGTAAACACATGTGAAACATAACCAACATTTTCAGTCAAGATTTCTTTAGGTATTAAAGCTATTAGTCTAATTATGACCGAGGAAACAACATTATCACAGCTTGATTGCTTTCATGTTACTTGTAACTAAGCCAAACGAGACTGCATAGAGCTGACAAATTGATTGTGCTTCCCCATTATGTCTTCAACAATATTATCTTCAGATGGAGAATCGAACTGCCATATGGTTTCCTCTCTGCTTGAGCTACACGGAAGGAAATGCAATATGCATTATCTCTGGGTCTCATAGGAATAGGAGTAAAAGTGTGACTAGATGCGTTGATATTAATCTGAACCAAAATTCAGATTAATCCTCAGAGATTTGGGGAAAGTCAGGATATTTTTACCACTTAAGACGTATATATTAACCAAGAAGGATCTCAATGATTTTCATAGATGGTAGGACTTGTTTCCTAACCTAATTCCATATGACGAGTCCTCTTCTACTCGGACAAAAAAAAAATTGGACCATATTAGTCAAATTTTGTAAACATATTTTTAGTCCGGAAACAATTTTAAAACTGAGTTATGAACCTTATTGGTTAGTTGTAGGCGTAGCCAATATCTTTGATTAATTAATAAAAAGACGTTAAATGTTAGGAAAAAAAACATATTTTAAACCGTGTTTGTTTTGTAAAAAAAAAAATATTTCAAGACCTAAGTGTATCTTGATTGTAATCTCATTTGGGTCTGATTTGTACCACCAATAAACCTAATAAGTATGACGATCGACTTCAAATGAAGTCGTGAAAAAATATTTCAAGACCTAAGTGTATCTTGATTGTAATCTCATTTGGATCTGATTTGTACCACCAATAAACCTAATAGGTATGAGGATCGACTTCAAAAATGAAGTTGTGAAAACAATCACCAGAAACTATTTAGAAACATGATTTAGTGAAGGAAGTGTTAACAATTTCTGTTATCAAAGGATATCCACAAGACGTGTTACAATCTACTATGACACAGCAATGAATATTCCACCCAGAGAAATTGTATTCATAAAATACAACAAAATAATTAATACACGATTATCTATCTAATTCGAGACTTTATATAAGTAATACAAAAAATAATAATGAAGCAATAATGGCTTTTGATGTCCCAGCTTTTATAATGAGAAGTTGCTCTTTTAACAATTCTTATACACGAAGCATCACTTGTCTGTTGGTCGAATTCTAAATTGAATGAACCAAACCAACATATAATCTTCCACTTTCATTATTTTTTATGACTTCTTTTATGGCAATGGTCCTTTCGACATGGGGCCCTATTCCGTCTACCAACTTCTTCCACTAATACTTCTCTAATCACCCTTTTAATTATAAGGTCATTACTAAGCTAAACCATTAACTAACATAGCATATAAAAGCTAATTATCTAATCACGCTAGGAAAATATTGACAGCTAATCTATAACCATGTAAGAATTTTGTTTGTTTGTTTGTCAAGCATATTCGGGGGCATCAAATAGTGAGAAAACATGGTAAACTACAAACCGTAGTAGTTCATCACCAATCACTTAGAATTATAATAATATCCTTTCTAAATTTGGTATAACGGTGGTTGACTTTCTTATTAGTTTGTGATACTTTTTTCTTTGAAAATAATAGTTGTTTGTTTCTCGTTTTTATTGGTAAATAAAATAAGGATATCAAAAGTGATTTATCAATGTGAAAGTCGGTGATTTAGGTGCTGAATTTTTTTTCAATAATTAATTAGCTAAATATACATATGGAGATTGTATGTTTGACGATTTTTTTTATTGAAAAAAGAGCAGTTAAGTTTATGTTCTAAAATGTTCCTTTTTATATGAACTAAAATAGGCTATCAAACTAATAAACAGTTTTAATCAGAAGTAACTCAAATTTAACAACTAAACATGAAAAAGTTTTTTAAAAAACATGAAACGTTAGTTAAACAAAACATGAAAACATTATACAGTATGTGGATTTAAATCACGCTAAAATTAACAACGGGAATATAAAAATTTATCTTGCGTATAAAGCAATCGCGAGGATAAAATATAGAAACATAAAGTAATTAAAAAATAAAGCGGACGAAAAGGAATAAATAAAATACATTAAAATTTTGGAAATAGAGAAGTCCAAAAAAAGGTTCTGTAGTGGAAATAAATCCGAAAGGAGGGGCCATAGGTTTCAGCTGTCGAGTCGAAATCCAAATCGAATCGAATCGAATAGAATCGACTCATCTCCGCCATTATCGTCTTCTTCTTTTCTCTCCCCGCCACTTCTACGGTTCTCAGATCCTCCGATCCGGCGGCGTTACTTTGCTACACTCCTCTCTTCTTCTTTTTTCTGTTCTTCGCCGATAGACTAAGGTAAGACGACAAAATTAGCTGAGCAGCTCTCAATCTTGTCTTTTAATTAAGCAACGATTCCGTTTTCAGATTCGTTTTTTTTTTCTTCATTTCTTACGATTCGAATGATCTGTTGAGTAGTGTTCTTATTTTGATAGAAATTTGATCAAAATGCTGCTTTATATGAATCGATCCATGGCACGAATTTTCTTGCAGGAAGTTTTGAACAAGGAAAAATTCCCGAAAACGCGTATACGGATCTGATACGGTTTTTTCGCGGTTGGATTAGGAATGGTTTCGCTGCCTTAATTATCTCGAAAATCTGTTTGTTGACCAGCTCGACAGAGAAATAGTTTCAAGAAGGTTTCTTTGGTTTCTCTGTTTGTGCTCATCAAAGGAGTTTAGGGTTTTTATTTGTGTATGCCTCCCGATCGCTGTGTGTTTGTTTCGTCGGCGGGACTCGGGAGCAGAGAGATCAGCTTACGGATATGCAGAAGAGTGGCGTAAACCGGAACCCTTCTTTAAGAGTAGCGATCCCTCAGGCACAACAATCGCTTAGGAGATTAGGTATTTGCTCTCAAATTGCTACCGGCGGATCTCAGCAATCATCCCCTGTAGTATTCCCTGAAAAGCGAAGCAAGAAGGTGAAGGCATCTTCGAGACGTGCTGAGATCACAAATGATCCGCAGGTAAAACCAAAAGCTGATGAGCATCGGATTGAAATTGGTGGAGGGGATGAGAAATCAGATTTGTTAGGTAGTCTTGTTTACTCTGGTAAGCTTTTATTGGATAAGAGAAAATCTGCCAGTGGGAAAGATGCAACAGAGATACAGCAACCATCTGCCACAGATATCTTTAACAAAAAAGCAGTTGATGCGAAGCTTACAAGCAAGGCTCTGGTTTGGAGTTCCGACATGCTACAGCTTGACGATGTTGTCTCGGTAGATTTTTCTCCCTCTCTCTTGGTGTAATTGGCCTTGCAATGGACTCTGTGTGTATTGTAAGAACAGGGTCAGAAAACTTATCCATGTTTTCTTGTTTTTGACAGTTGACATACAATGTCGGTCTCAGGCATTTCACCGTCCATGCTTATCCAATTGGAAAAGGTTCTTGTGGCCTTTCTTGCTTCACGAAACCAAAGAGAAGTCGCAAGGATTTCCGTTTCATTGCACCTACAGTAGAAGAAGCAGTTCAGTGGGTGGCCAGTTTTGCAGATCAACAATGTTTTATCAATTGTTTGCCACATCCTTTAGTCTCAAAGAAACAGGCTTCGTCTGAGTTATTTTCGGTCCCCATCGATACTCCTCCTGAGTTGGTCTTCAGGTGTAAGAGTGCACCGAAAATGCTTGTCATACTGAACCCTAGGTCAGGGCATGGCCGGTCTACCAAGGTTTTCCACGATGTAGTGGAACCAATTTTCAAGGTACATTTTCTATCCTTTTGTTTTATTTGGATGTCGTAGTCTACATCATCACATTGTTATCCACTTTTGTCTACTATCAGAAATTGGGTTTGAATTAAGTTGTCTAGATCTTCACTACCGTAAAGAACATTTCCATTTCTCCAATCCCGTTATGCAACTTTTATAAAATAATTATCCTTTTTGTATTGTTTGTCATTCTGTAAACTCTCACAGCTGGCCGGGATTAAGTTGGAGGTTGTCAAAACAAATAAAGCGGGCCATGCGAGAGAGTTGGCTTCCACAGTCGACATTAGCTTATGCTCAGACGGTACTAACGCTTGGTCCATCACTGAATGATTTGTTTTACACACATCAGCTTCTAATATTCGTTTCTTCATCTTACATATCTACTATTACTTATGAGATCTTAATAATTCTTCCAGGTATAATTTGTGTTGGAGGAGACGGAATCATCAATGAGGTGTGATAGTTAGCCTTCCTAAACTATGCTCACTTGTTTTCTATTTTCTTTAGGAGTTAAGTTCGAGAAGTGTTGTTCCTGTTATACCATACTTCTTTTTTCTTATCTGGCTTATTACATGCCCTACTGCCTTAATGTGATTCTGAACCAAGTTTTGTATTGAAACGGAAATTTATTGGCTTATTTCAGCGTGCTCACGCCACTTTTCAAGCATGCTGAATCATTTTAAGAGTTTAGTAACTCTTATCCTCCGGAGCGAGGAATTTGGGATGCATCTTATAGGGAAATACTTGCTCGAGTTGAAACACATGACTGTCACTCTTGATTTTTTTCATTTGATATAGAACTCTTTAGGTAGATTAAGATGCATGGAAATGATATTAACCTCTCCTACAATCTATTTACATCTCATACCCTGCCCCTTTCCAATGTTGCAGGTACTTAATGGTCTACTTTCTCGAAGCAATCAGAAAGAAGGGGTTTCTATCCCAATTGGAATAGTGCCTGCTGGCTCTGATAACTCGTTAGTTTGGACTGTACTTGGTGTTAGAGATCCTATTTCTGCAGCACTCTCTATCGTTAAGGTACTCCTGGCTAATATCCTATTGGTCGCTGCTTTGGTTTATACGGCCACCAACATTATCTAGCTTCTGCTCTTTCTCAGTTCAAAGGTTTTTTTTTTTGTTTTGGTTTAGGGTGGCCTAACAGCTACTGATGTGTTTGCTGTTGAATGGATTCATACGGGTGTAATGCACTTTGGAATGACTGTCTCCTACTATGGTTTTGTTAGCGATGGTAAGTGAGAATACCTGTGTGCTCTGTCTTGTAAGGCCTTCTATTGATAAACAGTTTCTCAAGTGTGGTCAGTTTTGATTTTGCATTCCTAGCTTCCTTGCTCATTCTCTTTGACTCCCACGACGCTTGCTTGTCATAGCATTCTGCAATATAGTTATAATGGTGAATTTTGTGTTTAACGGTCAGGATTATTGCTGTGAAGTATTTCCTTTGCACATATCAGTACCTTTAACAAATGATGTTCGTCACATTCACTTGCTATATCTAAATTCATGATTTTTAAACTGTGCTGTCGTTATCTATTTGCAGTTTTGGAGCTCTCTGAGAAGTACCAAAAACGCTTTGGTCCGATGCGTTACTTAGTTGCTGGATTCCTCAAGTTCATGTGTTTGCCAAAGTATAGCTATGAAGTGGAATATCTTCCGGCGCAAAAAGAGGATGCAGAAGGCAAAACTATACCTGAAAAGGAAGTTGTTGATGTGCAAGATCTTTACACGGATGTAATGAGGAGATCAAGCAAAGAAGGAATGCCTAGAGCCTCCAGCTTATCAAGTATTGACTCTATAATGACCCCAAGCGTAGGCGAGCTGGACACATGTAGCAGCACACATGCGAGCACCGAGCCATCTGAATATGTTCGTGGAATAGATCCTAAAATGAAACGCTTGTCCTCTGGCAGAAGAGATGTTGCAGCTGAGCCAGAGGTGGTTCACCCTCAAGGACAGTCAACAACCCCTAATTGGCCAAGGACAAGGTCAAAGTCAAGAACAGATAAAGGATGGATGGGGTTAACATCCGTGCAGGATCCTCCAACGCGATGTTCATGGGGGAATGCCGGTGCTCATGACAGAGAAGACATTTCATCTACTGTATCAGACCCGGGTCCAATCTGGGATGCGGGACCCAAATGGGACAGTGAACCGTCTGCTTGGGATATAGAAAACTCGATCGAGCTGCCAGGTCCTCCTGAGGATATAGAGACAGGACTGAGGAAGCAGAGCATAACACCAAGATTTGAAGATAAGTGGGTTGCTAGAAAGGGACATTTCCTTGGCATCATGGTCTGTAACCATGCTTGTCGGACGGTGCAGAGTTCTCAAGTCGTGGCTCCAAATTCTGAACATGACGATGGGACGATGGACATGCTCTTGGTTCATGGGTGTGGAAGACTGAGGTTGCTGAGGTTTTTTATCCTTCTGCAAACCGGTCGACACCTTTCGCTTCCTTATGTCGAGTGTGTAAAGGTAAATTGTTCCTCTCTCAAGGCTCTCCTTTTTCTGTCCTATATGCTGGTCAAACCGAATGCTGAGAATAGTTTGATAAAATGCATGACAAAAATTGCAGGTGAAGTCGGTGAAAATAAAGGCGGGAAAACAGACGCATGACAGTTGTGGTATAGACGGAGAGCTGTTTGCATTGAATGGAGAGGTGATATCGACTATGCTACCGGAACAATGCAGATTGATCGGTAATGCTCCTGCACGACATTTATAGTTATTAAGTCTCATCAAATTATGTGGATGGATGGAGAGAAGGAGAAAGAGAGAAAGAGTTTGGGTGTTTATATATCTGGAATTCTTTGTTGTTTTTTTTTTTTGTTGGTGATGGTTTTTGTTCTGGTCGGCGTCAATAGCTATGCGATGAGAGAAATAACATGAGAGTATATGGACCACAATCCTACCTTTTGTGCCATAAGTTCCCTAAAAACCCTAAACCCCTTTGTAAATTCTTTTGCCCTTTTTTTTTCTCCCATGTGTGTGTTTCGAATCATATATATGTACTATATGTGTTTTCCGACAATGAGTCGTGTGTTCCCCCTTATTTTCGTCTGGATTTGTCAATTCACGCAGGTTTGTTACTCTTCAGGTCTCTCTGTCTTGACATATTATTTTGAATTTTTAGGTATTGTGGTGGTGAATAGGAATAATGCGAGGCGTTAGTGTAGTTGCTCGGTAACGCGAATAGGACAATTCTTAATGACCTTGACCTGATATATCCTTCTTTTTTTTGCTTTGTCAAACCTGAGAAACCGGAAAGCTCAATGATTTAACCTCTTAACAACAAGAAGAGGAAATAAATTTAGTTATCACTTATCATACATATAGATATGTTATAAAAGTAATCGAATCTCTAAACTATATTCAAAACTGGGAGAGATTCTGTGTGTCTGACTCGGAACTCTAAAAGCATTTACACTTGAAGCCGCACGTTTCTCATCCCGTGAAATTCTCCGCATTGTCCTTTTCAAAGGACACGTTTCTTCACTATGCTCTCCTTTCCTTTTCACTTGTTAGTAATTCACTCTTATCCTTTTAATTTCCTAAATCTTAGAGTTATCTTCTCTTCGTCACTCACAACAAACCAAGAAGTTTATCTTTTTCTTTCGCGTTTATCCATTTCATTGCCACGTCTATTTCAAGTCTTATTCAAATCACATCCAGATAAATAAAGTTTATACGTATCTTTCATTTGATATCGGTTATCAATCACGATAACAATAGCATTCTTATACGTATTGTTGTTTCATCTGATATGGGTTATTTTTTACTGGGTTCTATCTACTAAAAAAAAAATTAACATCATCTTGTGTCACACAATATATAGAATATAATAAAGAACAAGGATACGAAACAGTTGTGTTTTCCACATCCCCAATCTTGCAACATATTTTCTCCTCTCTGACTCAGATGAGTAGCCCATTCGCTCTGTCACCGGCGATCGCTGCCGCCGTTCGTCCTCCGGCCTCTCACGACTGTCTCTCCGCTTCCGCCACTGCTGCTACTAGGCCCATGGCGCTCAAATCTTGCATCGTCATCCCTCTCTCGCTTTTCTCCTCTCAATCTGGAATCAAACGCGCGAGCTCAAGAAGAACTTCGAGGATGACGATTCGATGCGATGTGGCTGTAAAATCCGCCGATTCGGTGAACACAGAGGCCGATCCTTCGTCTTCGCCGTCTCCGTCGGAGGAGGAGGAAATCGAAGCGGAAGCGAAGGCGAAGGTAGGATCTAGGGTTAGGGTGACTGTGCCGTTGAAGGTCTATCATGTAAATCGCGTGCCGGAGGTTGAATTGGAAGGGATGGAAGGTAAACTCAAAGATTACGTCGCCGTCTGGAAAGGGAAACGAATATCAGCTAATCTTCCGTACAAAGTTGAGTTCTTCAAAGAGATCGAAGGTCGTGGTCCTGTCAAATTTGTCGCGCATCTCAAGGAAGACGAATTCGAGTTCATCGATCCGTGATTGAACAAAAAGGCAAATTCTTTTTTTAATCTCTCGTCTCTCTTTCTCAGTCTCTTTTCTTGTTGTGTTCACTGAAAACTGGGAGTGGAGAATACATTTGTGAATGAGATTTGTATGTACTCTGATGTATGTATACATTTAGCAATCATATACATAAAAGGCTTCACCTTTCCCATTTTGTGATTGATTCTACCATTGCCCTTGATCTCGTTATTGATTTCACTCTGTTAGTTTAGATGTATGCTTCATCTTAGAAACGAAAAGTTTGATTTTGATATGGATTCTTTATTCGTAAGTGGAAATTGAGGCTGAGGTTATTTTCAAACACCAGTTTCTTCCATATCAAGATCAGGATCGAATTTGTTGCGTTTAAGACTAGCATCATTTAAGTATTTTGAAACGAAATGGTTGGCTCTTGATCACACGATGGCAAGTGTGATTCGGGACTGGAGATCATTCCACTAGATCGGGTTAGCACTTGAGAGACTAACATCATTGAATGTAGTATCATGTTCTTGAATGGTCTCATCCAGTGAGTGGTATTGAGTAGATAGTATATAGTGTGGATTATACTTGAAGGAGCCTGGCGGAAACAGTTTCTTAGGTTTTCAGATGACTTTTTCCGATTCCAATCTTTGGTTTGGAATTCGCATAATCGCATTCCTCTCTTTGTTGTTAGACAGTATTTCCTATTTTCAAGTGTCTGACTGTTTGTATAAGGGAGATTCGTAAATAGTTCAGCCTCGTCGTTGAGGTATTGGTAATGATCTCCTTTTTTTACAAGTGAAATGGAGGATCAATAAATTCATTGTTCTTGAGAAAGTCGTCATCAATCACGTTTCATCTAGGTGATGGTCGAACTGTGATGGTTAAGTCTTTGAAACCTCATGGCTCACGCTTTTGTTAGTGTTGGTGATAGTCTCTTATTTTAAAAAAAATTACGACGTTATACTAGTCTAAAGGAAGGCGTTCCAAAACTAGTTATTGTCGATCTGATTGGGTAAACATTGTTTAAAGCAGTTAATAAGTTTTTTGGCGGGTGGAATTACTGATAACTAGCTGTAAGTGAAGGAACTTTTTTAGTTGAATGATTGGAAACAAGGAGTTGAAATGTACTACAACTAGTTAAACATAAAATAGACATAACTAGTAGTACTTACTAAAGAATGAAAAACAGCAAATCTATTATACCAGGATTAGTAAATAGTTTATAAAACAATAAAAAGATAAAGAACAATAAAAACAAATTTATCCTTAATAAAGAACAGCGAATATATTTAAAAAATAATCGTCCAAATGGTAAATATGCAAATTGTAAACCATATGTTTTTTCACGTAGTTTTTGACATTTTTTTGGCAACCGAGGAGGTGATTCTATCTCCACATCTCCAACTGCCTCAAAGTTGATGTACCAAAACCCTGGAAATTTTAATTTGTTGTCGAGCTCTAGCCTCTAGGAGGAGAATGTGATAATACATATTAAAGACCTAAACTTATATTCTTCATCATGGGCACACTCCGATTTTCTTTGTATTTCATGAGTTTGTCATTTTTACTATTATCGGAGGGAAAAATGTTTTTTAGTAATATGTTGGTTTTGTGAGGAGTATTATTGTTGCGCGACCCTAAGAGCATGTCCATTGGTGAATCCCTTCTAAAGAGATTCATTAGATATGAAAATTTTTTTTTTTCTAATTTCGAAAATTAAAAAAAAAAACCTTCGCCCAATGACATCTTTGCCCACCTGGACAAACTTGGACTAACCTGGGGTCTTCAGGTTGTCCTGATGAACCGATCCTTCCCATATAAGCATTATTTCTTTTCTTTTTTTAATCAAAACTGCCTATGAACTCAAGCCGAACTCTTTCTACAGTCCCCAATGGACATGCTTTAATGTACTAACACGTCCATGTATCACGTCTTCCAACGCCCTAACACATTCAACGTTTATTATAAAAATTCGAGTGGATGGAGATTCGAGCATCAAAAACAATAAACCAACTCTTAAAAATATGAATAAAATTATTGGATTACAAAACTCAGATTTAGTGACAGCACATCTAGGCCAGGCCAGGGCAGACCATGGTGGCAATGATTGAGTTAACCTTTTTAATTAGCAGAGTGCAGTTTGAAACGCAAGCGGCCTATTATATAAGTGGGACATTAATTTAAAGTCAAAACGCTTATTTATACCCGTAATTGTAGGTTTCTGTTTCAAAATTTGGCTGTCATGATTTATAAAGAGTTTTTATTTGTTTTTAGATATAGAGTTGTGTACTTGAATGTGAGTGTGATGATGGGATCTCTCATGGCCCCATGCAATTAGGTCGTCCGTTATTTTCAAGCCAAACCTTCTACCTTTATTTTTTGTCTATCCAACGTTGGTCTATCTAATGTCACTGTTATTTCATTATGTGTACATTTGTAATGTTATAATATTCTCATATTGGTTCGCTTATTTATCTTCACACTACGTTATCTGTAAAACTGTTTTTTTTTGTTGTTGTTAAAGATAATAAAGTTGTTTTAGACACTAGAATATATAAATAGTAGATGGAGGAATTACTCACGTACAGCCGATAAATCAAGATAATTTTATCTTGCTTTTGACAAAATTTCCGATTGTCGAGACATAAGATCGACAAAAAACTACATATTACTGAAACATTTATTTTCATTTACATATAAACCTCCAAATTATCGACAGGGGTCCATGATAATAAAATATTTATCATCTAAGCAATAATCACGTATTAATGATTACATGTCCATTTCCATTATATCACCGACAGTATGAATATATTCAAAACAAATTTCTTAAGAATTAGTTTGCAAACCGGGAACTTAATTCTGCAATGTAGTACTTTTAAACGAATGCAAGAACATGTATTTGCTCCCTGCATAATGACGTACATTACATAGTTTAAATATGGGTTACAATAAAGCGACCATAATAGTACAAAAATATAAATTACTATAATACAAACTTCGGGCGATTCAAATGAATTTAGGAAAGCTCTCAGATCATGAATTCCCAAACTATGTGAGGTACAATGAAGAAGATCTACGAGAATTGATTAGATGTTATTATAAAAGTGCACTTGATTTTATGGGAATCTCAAATGAAGCAACTATACAGTGAGCATGCTTATCCCATAGTAATATCACATGTATTAAATAGACGGTTATACCACCTGTCTTTTGGAACGGTTTATAAGCGTTATTATGAACCGATTGATAACTGGAATAAAAAAACAATTTACGTGTTCAATCTTTTTTAATTCAAGACTAAATAATACTCAGGGTGGGAGGAGTACAAGAGAATCGATACTCAGGGTTGGTGTCATTAGAAGAAGCAACGTTAAATGGAATCATTTATATTCTTTCTAGTAAATGTATATGTGAATGTAAAATACGAATATGATACTACTAGTGAGAGGCATGAAAATTGAGGAATCCAAAAATTAAATGAGAAATGTTGTTTTGGAATTTGAAATAGAGAGAGGGAGAAAGAAAAGAAGACGTAGCCAAAGGTTAAAAAGACTCTCTCTACTCTGCGCCTCCTTTTTGCTTCTCTCTCTCTCTCCTCCATTGTGCCTGTGCTCTGTCATTCTCTCTCTTCTCTCATTTTTTACTTCGCCATTGGAGAAAGAGATTTCACTTTAAAACTTCTCATTCAACCTACTACTACTCCCTTAAGATTTTCTTCTTTTCTAAGGGAACAACGACGTTTCGATTTAGATTTTTCACTGATTCCTTAAAAACTTCTCCTTTCAGTTTCTAAAATACTGTTCAACTCATTTCATCTCTCTTCACCAATTTGAATTTTTCGGGAGCAGAGGAAGCAGGCAGAGTAATATTGGCGTTTTGGGTCTCTTTTATTAGAAGAAAAAGTTAAGCCCTTTGCTGGTACGGCGTCATTTCCTCGTGGCTTCTATTTTTTTTTCTTCCCAGATGATTTCTGGGGTTTTGATCTATTTCCCATTCGAAATTTCAGATTGGGTCAAGCGGAGATCTTGAGAAAGCTTTGTGCTTTCTTGGATTTTTTTTTGGTCTGGTTGAGAGAGTTGGAATTTGAATGTCCTCCATTGCAAGGGTTTCGTTTCCGCCATGAATACCAAGCGAGCCTACAAGCTGCGTATCCTTTTTGCTTAATCAATTTTCTTCCTTTTTTCATGTTTTCTCGGGATTCTATTTTTAGGGTTTGTTCTAGGAGTCGTTGATTAACAACACTAGTGCCGTGCTTGATCTGCTGCTTTTATTCTCAGGTGCACGAGATCTGTTTTCATCTTTTCATTATCTTTTCATTTTTTTTGCTTTTTCCCCGTGGAGTAATTAAAGACCCTCTGGAGACTTGTGTGTTTGAATTTAAGACTTATCAAGTCCAGTTGAGTTTTGACTAGAGTCTCTCACTTGGTAGCATTGCTTTGCCTTGACTTGTGTGTGATACAAAGAGGAATTTGTGGCACATTCTGCTGCTGTCAACTGTCTCAAGATCGGAAGGAAATCATCCAGGGTTCTAGTAACAGGTGGGGAAGATCACAAGGTCAATCTTTGGGCTATCGGTAAGCCCAACGCCATTCTGGTCAGTTCTCCGTCTACTGCTTCTATCCTGGCTGCCTTGGTGCATTATGTGTTGATTTTAGGAGAAATTTTCTATACTCTTGCAGATAATGTAGTATAGTAGTCTCTCTTTCTGAGTGTTTATCAGCATCTCACCTATTTTGGATCTTTGTGGTCAGAGCTTGTATGGGCACTCGAGCGGAATTGATTCAGTGACGTTTGATGCTTCAGAGGCCTTAGTTGCAGCAGGAGCTGCTAGTGGTACGATCAAACTTTGGGATTTGGAGGAGGCAAAGAGTAAGTTTAGCAGTTTATAAGTACCCTTCTTATTTGGCTCAGTTTGACTAATATGATTACTTATGCGTTATTTCACTTGCTTCGATGAGTAGTTGTTAGGACTCTCACTGGTCACAGGTCAAATTGCATATCGGTGGATTTTCACCCTTTTGGTGAGTTTTTTGCGTCTGGCTCACTAGACACAAACCTGAAGATATGGGATTTAAGAAAAAAAGGTCCCATCCATACTTACAAGGGTCACACTCGAGGAGTCAATGTACTCAGATTCACCCCAGATGGTCGCTGGGTTGTATCTGGAGGAGAGGACAACATTGTGAAGGTTGGTAG